TGAATAACGGGGAGAATGGGTAAACCACGATTGGTAGGTTTTTGCAAGTCTTCAATTTATAAGAGGTAAAATAGTTTCTGTAATTGTAGCCTTGTTAAACCTATATCGGCATAAATCCCCCCTCGCTAAACATTTCTATTGGATTTCCTGCATCCCGTATATATCTTTTTGGAACTCGAAGACGATTTTCTTCTTCCACATGGTCCAAAATATCCTCAAACTCTTCTAACATATTCAAAACTGTTTAATCAGACAAAACGGATTTGCAAGGGATTTATTTTGTTTACTAAAAAAGTTAGGTTTAGAAACTATCCACAGATAACATAAACTATCCAAAATGACAATCTCCAAAATGAAAATCGCAATCTCCAAAATGACGTTTGCTTGTGTATTCTGTGGATTCCGCTCTCGAGAGCCCAAGACCATAGACAAACTAACAAAAGCATGCCCAAGACCGTCTTGCTCTATGCCCAAGACCCGACAGCAAATTGTGACGCTGGCATCAAACAGTGCCGTGGCACATATTTTTCTTAACCTAGCTGTTTGAAGCAATATTTATATTTTTTGATAATTGTTTTGACTACACCTATGGTGTATCATCCTAATTAATTACGAAAAAAACGTATTAAAATGTTAACAAACGGTACAAAACTAGTATCGACGTATAGCACATATCAAGTACATATAGATGTTAATTGAAGTTGAAGAATAATTATCGAATTCAATAAGAAAACGCTAAAAGGTTGGAGTGGACTGTTTATTTACCTATGAAACGTAACTCCTGGCTCTTTCTTCTCGCTGTGGCTTTTACACTTGAAAGCTAGACAATTCACCATTGTAACAAAGTTTATACAAAGTTCACTACACACAACAAACTATTAAAAATCGCTAAAATTGTCGCTGGTGACTGGATGATGACTCACTGTTTGGCATCAAACGAATGGCGTCTAACGTCACAAATTCTACTACAGCCCGTACAGGGGCGTTACATGTCCTTATATTCTTTAGTCATTGGGCCTTATAGTGTAGCAAAACCCGCAATATGCATCATACTGCAACAAAACCCGCAATATGTATCATACTGCCACAAAACCTGCCTTGTCCGAAATATTTTTGTGACTTTTCTCTTTAAAAATTAAATATTTTGGTAATGGTGTGGATCCGGTGGCTGACCTTGAAACGAGTTTCTGCTGCATATAGTCACAGATACTACGCATGCGCACATCGTCGATGTTGCCAGATTGCAGGTTATTTTGGAATTATTTTCAGAAGAAAACAAATATTGTATTTTTCAGCGTTTTTTTGTCAATGTATACCGTGATCGAAAAAAAACGGCATCCAATTGGCTGCGAAATGAGGATCGATGACATTTTCCATATAAAATGACAACGATCTTTATTTCATAGTCATCGCTGTCGCCACTTTTTTCGATCATACGATATTATTTTGGTATTATTTTAATATTCACACAATACGTGAACGCTTATTATGTATTTTCATAGTCAATAAAATTAAATAGAAATAAAACTCTAATCTAATTGCTCTAGATTTATTATACTACGTTTAAAAAGTGCTTTATTAAAAATTCGCAAAATTAAGGGATGTGTCCAAGTTTCTTCTTTTTTTGAATTTTTAAATGCTGTAGCACCATATCATGTTCATAATAGATTTTATAACATTCCATTAAAACTACGTAGGCCTTAAAAAGGTCTCCGTAATTATAACTGTAAAGTGAGCAGTATTAATAGGTATCTTATTTTGTATCTGCTTATATTGCATTAATTTTTCTGCAACAAGATTTTTCTATCTTACACACAATTTATGTGATTTTCTTATTAGAATATAATATGATGTATAAACAATATTTTTCCTAATGGAAAGGATTTGCAGGTATTAAGATATCTTATCATTTATTCTCCACACCACAAAGTATAATATGTAGTAGAGGTATTAGGGAGTTTTCGTTGCTTACAAATTGCAATTCCGGTTAACGCTAATTGATAACTTTGACATTTCAATTTCGATTATCGTATATCGTAACCGCTAGCTGCCGATATTGTACGGACGTTAGCCAAACCCGTTAACATAGCGGTACGCATGCGCACTAGCGCAGTAGAAACACAACATTGAAGAATACAGATCTAACCTAACCTCATTCTATTTTGTTTATGTTTTGATTATTTATTTTATCTGTGTTAAACTCGTTGGGAATTGCACTCTTGGTCAGATAATATTTCTAGGTTGAACTCCCCATAAAGTTCTGCTCGATATTCGATGTTGTTTTCAAACCCTTCCAACAGCATAGCATCCTCCAAATCCGATTCATCACTAGAGTCCAATAACATTAAATTGTCCATCCTATATAGTGATACCTAATAAAGTCATATAAAGCACTTTCAAATCAAATAACAATACAAAAACCAAAAATCAAAACACTACGCTACGGGCTATGCTTAGCTGTCAGTTTTCGGTTATCGTATCGTATGTCGGCTCCGAACCGATGAACCGAAAGTCCGAAAACTGTTTTTTTATCTGTCAAAATAGCGGTTATGGTGACGTATCCGTTAACCGTACCGTTGAATTTTTTTAAAGCAACGAAAACTCCCTATTGAGACATAAAAAAATTATAAGAAATATCTTAATATAAATCACAAACTAACTTAAGTTTTAAGTTAGTCTAATAAGATCAGAAATGAATCTTCACCATATTATCAAGATATTGGTATTATATAGGAAAGAAATTACAGTAAATTAAGAAAAGAATATACAGGATATTAAGTACACACAGTAACAGAAAAACAGTAACAGAAAAAGATAAAGCATAAAACTTATTTTAATCCTATCAGCATTCTTCGATAAAATATATACCTACAATGGCTGCAATAAATGTGTCATATTGATGATACAAAATAATTCTAATAGGTTTAAAACTAATAAGAAAAAATCCGTAAATGATAATTTTTAATTATAATGTAAATATATAAATAAATATATTATTATTACATTATTATATATTACTTAGAACTCCGATTACAATTATAATACCTTAACTTCACAATCTCCATTATCCTTCTTACCTTAATTTTTGATATCAAGTTAAATCTGAAATTATAAAATTAATTGTAGAATTTGAAATATTATTATTACTGATTAAAAGTCAAAAAACATTTGTTTTTGACTAAAAATAATTCGAAAATAAACTGCAATGTGGCAACATCGACGATGTGCGCTTGCGTAGAATCGATGATCAAATGCAGCAAATATGGGCTTCAAGGTCAGCCACCGGATCCACACCTTTACCAATATATGGTGTGGATCCGGTGGCTGACCTTGAAACGAGTTTTTGCTGCATATAGTCACAGACACTACGCATGCGCACATCTTCGATGTTGCCAGATTGCAAGTTATTTTGGAATTATTTTCAGTAGAAAACAAATATGTGCTTTTCAGTGTTCTTTTGTCAATATATACCGTATGATCGAAAAAACGGCGTCCAGTTGGCTGGGAAATGACAATTGAGGACATTTCCCATATAAAATGACAGCAATCTTCATTTCATAGTCATCGCTGACACTATTTTTTTTTCAATCATACTACGCCCGGTATATTATTTATATTATTATTTTAATATTTCGCACAACACGTGAACACTTATTATGTATTTTCATAGTCAATAAAATTAAATAGAAATAAAGCTCTAGATTCCTATAATTAATCTAATTGCTCTAGAATATTATGCTACGTTTAAAAAGGGCTTTATTAAAAATTCGGGAAATTAAAAGGGATGTGTCCAAGTTTTTTTTTTTTTTTAATTTTTAAATGCAATAGCTCCATGTCATGTTCATAATAGTTTTTTTAACATTCCATCAACGCTACGGAGACCTTAAAAGGCCTTTTAGCCTCCGTAATTAAAATTGTAGAATCAGCTTCAGCAACATTAACAGTTACCTTGTTTAATTCTGCTTATACATATATTGCATTATTTTTTCTGCTACATTAAGATTTCTCTATTCTTACACCTATATATGATTTATAAACCATATTTTTCCTAATGGAAGGATGGAATAGGATATGCAAAATTAAGATATTTTAACATTTATTTTCCAGACAAAGCATAATATAGTATTAAGATTAAGACATAACAAATATTATAAGAAAGATCTTAATATAAATCACAAACTAACTAAGTCTTAATTTGGTCTTGTATAAACACAGGTATAAAACTAATAAGATCAAAACTCAACCTTCACCATATTGTCAAGATTTGGCATTATAGGAAACAAGAAATTACAGTAAATTAAGAAAAGAATATCAAAGTACACGATATTAAATACTGTAATGTATTCTGCGACACAAACCATCTCCCTTCTAAAGAGAAAAAGATAAAACATAAAGCTTATTTTTGTCTTATCACCACACTCTTCGATAAAATATATGTCTAAAATTGCTATTAATCCACTAACTTGATATTTTTAAGAAATTATGATACAAACATTATAATCAAAGTATATTATATTAGTAACATTATAGGTAAAATGTTACCTCTATCTCCCATTGACGTGTATTTTTCTATAAGACTCGTCATGGTAGTACTTCAATACATCAATACATATAATCAAAACTATTGTTGCCTGTAAATAACTAGAAATTAAATGACTTGAAAGAAATAAAATAATTCCAATAAGTTTAAAACCTTTAAGAAAAAATCCGTAAATGATATAATTTTTAATTCTAATGTAAATATATAAATAAATGTTATTATTATTACAATTTTATATATCATTCCTTAATTTTGGATATCAAGATAAATCTGAAATTATAAAATTAATTATAGAATTTGTATTATTATTGATTAACACTCAAAAAAAAATTTCAACTACAAATAATTCGAAAATAAACTGCAATTTGGCAACATCGACGATGTGCGCTTGCGTAGTATCGATGATCAAATGCAGCAAATATGGGCTTCAAGGTCAGCCACCGGATCCACACAAGATCCACATCCTTGATCCACACATGATCCACACCTTTACCAGATATAAATATGCTTATAATTAAAAATAAGCCAAATCGGGGATTTATCACCAATGGGAATTACCGTATGTTAGTATTCAAAATCACAAAATACTTGAAATCAATGCTCTTCAATTTCAAGATATCTTATCTATTCTGTTGGAACCTTGTTGGAAGAAAATGCAAAACTATTTAATGATTTGTACCTGAGGAGCAGATTTATTTAAAATTCCGTTAATTTTTTTTCCCAAAAATGGCCATAAAATTTTCTGTTGAACTTCCTTTATTTTTTGCATTTTTTAGTTTTTCATTAATCAGTAAGTATTATGTGTTTTAAAAAAATAAAAAAAATTAACATAATAAATTTTAGATACTCTAAATACAAATCTAATTATCTATAGGACGTGTTATCTCATACTTGGATTTGATAAAAATAATTGTTCCTTATTGGGTAATGTTTATAATGCAACTACAGAGGCATTGGAAAAAATAGTCCAGCCGAAGGCTGATGTTATTATGATGACTAAAACTAGCATAGATTCAGTTTTTGGGGCTATTTTATGTCTTTTTGTTGGTTCTTGGAGCGATAGGTTTGGAAGAAAACCAGTTATTGTGGCTAATTTTATAGGTTTGTACAGAGAAAATCTACAGAATCAAATTAAAATTTCGTTACATAGGTTACACAGTAATGATGTGGATAATGACGGCTTTTGCTGCTTTAGAAGAAGTCTCTCCATGGTACATGCTGATGTGTACAATTCCAGTTGTTTTATCAGGTGGTGGTGCATCATTTTTAGCTATTTTATTAGCTTATTTAACTGATATAACTTCAGTAGAACATAGAGGGCTTCAGTATGTATAATAAGTTTAGATTTACAGTATAATTATTATTTTTTATTAGGATGGGTATTTTTGAAGCCTTTATGGGTGCTGCAGTGCTCTTAGGTAATTTGTCAAGTCCATATCTTTTGAGTGCAACAAATTATGTGATGGTGTATCTTATAGCAATGCTTAGTTTGTTTTTAGGGCTTTTGTATGTGATATTATTGATTCCAGAATCGCTGGAGACTATAGAAACAGGAGTAATGCCAGAAAAACAATAGTTGCAATACTTGTTTACCAATTATTTGTTTTAGAATAAGATAAGGGGATTTTTTCAAACCCAAAATATTGTTGGAATGTTTAAAACAACTTTAAGAGAAAGACCTGGTTATGGCCGAAGCATAATTCTCTTGTTGGTAGTATCTTTAGCAATATATTTCACTACAGTGGCTGGTGATACTAGTGTCATATTTCTTTTTATGAGAGAACAGTTTCACTGGACCTTTAAACAGTTCACTTATTTTAGCAGTTTTTGTTCCATTAATTGGATTTTAGGAAGTATAATATTGGTGTATGTTATTCATCACAAATGGAAAGTGCAAGAGTCATTTTTAATATTAATTGGGTTCGTCACTATGACTATTGGTGCATTTATTCAAGGTCTAGCTCAAGTAGATTGGTTAATCTATTTTGGTTAGTGTTAATGTTTAATCTACAACTTTTATTATCTATATGTATAGAATAATAATTTTAGCTGCTGTGATAAAAATTCCTTCAACTTGTATTTCACCAATGACAAAATCTATGCTCTCCAAACTAGTTGAGGATAACGAATCTGCTAAAATATTCGCTGTTTTTACTATTATGTCGAATTTATTGGGTAGATATTAAATTATGACAAAAATATTGTACATAGTCTAAGCCAGATTTGTAGGCCTTGTTGGAGCTCCCTTATTTACTACTTTATATAATGCCACTATGGGTTCATCACCCGGTATATTCAATTTTGTCACAGGCAGTGGGCAAGCAATGAATACAATTTATTTACTGTAAGTCTTTAAAGTTATTTTATAGCTATTTAATATTTAATTTTTTAGTGTAGTGATATGGCTACTACGAAGAACACAATCAACACCTTATTCTAGTATATCTAACGAAAATCAGGATTCTGTTATTACACCACAAAACGAGACAGACAATTAAATCAAGTTTACTTTAATCTTTGCTTTTATTAGAATAATTGTCCTTTTAAGGATTCTGTTTCTGATCATATTTCTGATTTGAATATTTAATTTTTTATTTTCAGTGTATTCTTGGTTGCATGGATTGTTTTAAGCTCTTGTTAAACCACAGAACAGATACCGTAAAATGGGGTGAATAGAAACATAGGGGTGAATAGAAACAAAATTTCTGAAAAAAATCAAATCACGATTAAAAATATTCAAAGTAAAAAGAGTCGGGTATACCAAGAGTCGACATATCTAATTTTTCTATCATTGGTAATACACAATAAAATGTAAAAACTATATTTTTATCTGTGGCAGCACTGTTTCTGTCAATCAGTGTTGCCAGATATACCATTTAAATGGTATCTATACCATTTTTTCGTCCTTGATACCTGCAAAAAATTTGAGTATACCATTTTCCATTTTTCTACCATTTTTTGAAGACGTTACCATTTTTCTACCATTTTTTTAGAATCCCAGCGATCTACATTTTTTAAACTTTTTAATGCAAACCAATCTATTTTTCCACATCTACTAAAAATATGAAGCACATCTCTATTAGGCTATCTCATATCTCTATTATTTTTTATAGGTATTATTTTTTGAAAAGTTTTACCTATTTTATTCTAAGTCTATGGTTTTACCTATATTTTCAGAGCCAAATATGTAGATTATTAATGTTGAATTATTAATAATATATTTTATGTTACCTATCTATTTAAAATGTTCATATTACCTTATTATTATATTAATTATACCTATTTCTTTTATTATTATTTTGCATAAATAAAATGTTAAAAAAAACTTAAATGCCTTGTTGAGTTCAAAACTGATGTGATAACCAACAGCTACGATGTTTTCAAACCAAATTGAGGTTCGTTTGGTTTTTGGGGTTAATCCACGGTTAATCATAGTATCAAAATTATAAAAATCCTCTTTAAAAGTAAAAATACCATTTTTTTTCAGTCAAATACCATTTTTTTAAATACTCGATACCACTTTTTATTTTTTCCATCTGGCAACACTGCTGTCAATCAGCTGATCAATAAATGTGAGATCGATTTATCACCTATTTTGTATGGCGCGAAAACTTTATAAATAAAATATTTATTTTTAAAGTAATACATAAGCTGGTACATGTAAGTTGTTATATTATATGTATTGTTAATTATTGTTAAACCTACTTAAATATGTAATAATTTACTGTTTCTAATCACCTTGTTGGAAATAGAATAGATAAAAACCTTAACATCAATGTGTGTTTCTATTCTCCCGAATAGCAGGTGAATAGAAACACAAATGTTATTTTTATTTAATATTTATATGCATATTTTTCAAAAATCAAATTATATTTATACGCAAAGAACAAACAAAAACCCATGTTTTAAAATATTCGGGAAAATAATACCACATTTTTATCAACCGGTATATCGCTAATAGCCTACGAAACTGTTTCTATTCACCCCATTTTACTACCCGGTACAAGTTAAACCATGTTTTCTTTTCTTACTTCTGTCTTCTGTCTACTGGGAGATTGGACACATACATGCTGGACACCGATTGGAGATAAAAATATCCCGTTTTTTCGTGTCTCTTTCTTATTGGTCCTTCTCCCTTTATGCATTTTGCTCTTGAAGTTCTTGAAGATAATACCGTTTTTAACAAGTTTTTAATACACGTTTTTTCAAGAAGATAAGAGATAAGTACAACGTTGTCAAATACATCAATAATTTAATATATTAGACAGATATTACTTAACAAATTTAATATACTGGACAAAAAATTAGTCGTTTGACTGATCAATATTCCTAATAAAATGCTAAACTCGGAAAAAATAAGCTTATAACGTTTGCTTTTAAATTAAGAGTCGGATAAAATTAGCCTGACAACTGACAACACAGCAACCGGCGCAATGAAATGAAATGGAACCGCAGCGGCATCTCCGTAGTCATAAATGTCAGTCATTTGTCAGCTCCAATGTCAGATGTCAGTCTACGTGAGTTTGCGGAGGTTTTGGGTGCGTCAGTCTACAATGGCTAAATCGTTATTCTTAGTTTTTGTAGGGCTTATGACCCTTTTAGTTATAGTGCAAGTTTCCGGTGATGGTGGCTCTAAAAAAGGCCCCAAAGTCACTGAAAAGGTAAGCTTTTAGTTAGAAAATCCAGGCTGCTTTGTAAGCTATTTGATTTTTGTCCGACTTATAATTCAGTATTTCGCTAATTTGTTAAGTAAAGTTAACGGTTTATTTGAAGAATATGAACCGAAAGATCTATAAAACGTGGACTTTTTATTGGAAACGTAGTGATGTCCTTAACATTGAAATTTTGAAAAGCTGACGTTGATTTTTGGCACAAGTACAATATCCGTTTACTGCAAAAGTGGAATGAATTGGGTATTTTAAATAAAAACGCCACAGGGAGCTGTTTATTTATGTTTTCCCTCTGATGTTTCTTTGTCTTCTATAGGGATTCTAAAAATATCTGTAATATAGGCCCAGTATACCATTCATTTTACTCTGCTGTAAATAGAAAACACTGAACAAAGAATTAATCTTGTTTCAGCTTTAATAATATTCTTTGTAAATTTTAAAGTTCTTTAGTACTGGAAGTCTTTTAAGTTCTTTATTATCACACCAATAAAATTATTTTTCTAGGTATGGTTTGACATAACTATCGGCGACGAAGCCATAGGTCGTATAGAAATCGGTCTTTTCGGTAAAACCGTACCCAAAACAGCGGAAAACTTCAAACAGTTAGCCCTAAAACCAGCCGGTGAAGGCTACAAGGGTAGCAAGTTCCACCGTGTAATCAGGGATTTCATGATCCAAGGAGGTGACTTCACTAAAGGCGATGGAACTGGTGGAAGATCCATTTATGGTGAGAGATTCGCAGACGAAAATTTCAAGCTGAAACACTATGGTGCTGGTTGGTTGTCAATGGCTAATGCCGGAAAGGATACGAACGGATCTCAGTTCTTTATTACCACCAAACAAACCACTTGGTTGGATGGTAGACACGTAGTGTTTGGCAAAATACTCAAGGGAATGGATGTAGTGCGGAAAATTGAGAGTACCAAGACAGACAGCAGGGATAGACCTGTCAAGGATGTTGTAATCGCAGATAGTGGAGTCGAGGAAGTTTCAGAACCTTTTGGTGTCAGTAAAGAAGATGCCAGAGATTAAAAATAATTTTTTTATTCACGTTTTTTTCCATATCGGTTCCTCGTGTGATAAAAATTCATATTTTTTTCTTATAATAAAAAAACTTTTATACTAAATATGAGTGTTTCATTTTCAAAAGTTAGCTTCTTGGAATTTTTCTGTAATCTGAAATTTTCATATCAGTTCATATCGGAGTTATATTTATATCATTTTTATGGCATTCTGTTATAAAAAAAAATAAACCTGGCGATGGGCTATTAAAATAAAGATCGCTGTCATTTTATATGTAAAATTGTATGGGGAATGTCATCGATATTCATTTCCAAGCCAGACGCTAGACGCCGTTTTTTTCTCGAGCATATGGTATTCAAAAAGAAAACTTTTTAGCACAAAAAAGAAGCTTAGATACAGTACGTCTGTTCGTTCTGTAGCTACGGGGTATCCGTGAGAGGGGAAACGATATTCTCTCCATGTTTTTCGTAAAAAATTAAACCACCCGTCCCATCTATATAAATTCGACAAATTTGCAAGTAGCTAATAAAATGAGTGGGCGGAGCGATTTGCGGTGACGTACTCGTCAAGTCGACGTATAAAATACGACGTTGTTTATTTAAATGTTTTTGTCCGCATTCCTTTCATAGACACAGATACAGCAGACGTACTGTAAACCCTTTGATAAACCCCAGAAAACTTATTAAACCATCTGAACTAAAAACAAACAAAATAGCTCTTAACTTATTATTATAAAAAAGTAAAACAACATTTTTAGTTAGTATTAACGCATTTACACACACAATAATTCATCAGCATTTTTGCATTCTTTGAGATTTTCATTTTTACAGTACGTCTGCTGGATCTGTGTCTATGAAAGGAATGCGGGCAAAAAACATTTAAATAAATAGCGATATATTTTATACGTCGATTTGACGAGTGCGTCACCGCAAATCGCTCCGCCCACTCATTTTATTGGCTACTTGCAAATTTGTCGAATTTTTATTGATGGGACGCGTCGTGTATTTTTTTACGAAAAACATCGAGAGAATATTGTTTCCCCTCTCACGGATACCCCGTAGCTACTGAACGGACAGACGTACTGTAGATGGTATGATTAATGTCATTCTGAATAAAATCTGGTGAAAACTTAAACTTTACCAAAAGTAATTATTACTAATAAATCAAATATATTTTTATAAACAAAATATAACATTTGAATTAAAAAAAGATTGTAAAAACGTTCACTTTGAATAGAATATAGGGAACATTAAGATCTAGTAGCTTATATCAAATGTTTTTGTATTAAAGTATCTAAAAAATTTCATAAACAAAAATATTTGAAATTAGTTTTTAATCAAATTTTAAATAAGTATCTTGATCATGTAAATATTATGGCGCGTTCTCACGACTCGTGTACTTGGCAAGTATTTTTTATTGGCCTACAGGGTCTGGCAGGAGTGCGGCATAGTTCCTATACCAAATAACTTGAAATTCTGTGTAGATGCCCGACGCACCGTGTATTACCCTGTATACCAATTACAATTATTGTTTGTCAAGTACGCGAGTCGTGAGAATGCGCCTTTAGATTATTACTCAATAAAAATCTAAGCAATAAACCTATTACAACTTGGCAACATTGTTGGGTGCCCAAGTACACTAGTCGGACGTAGACTCTAGCTATTGTATTATCAAAGAGAAAATTATCTACTCCATAGAAAACATTTCAAGCATAGAATAACTAATTAAAGGTTTCAAGTATTTGTAAGTAAGCGAAATAGGGGGAGGTCGAAAAATCAATTTTACATATACAGGATTATACGAGGGTTATAGAAAAATTACATTTAGTATTTATTAAAAAGCGAAAAATTAGCATTTCATAATAATTAACTAATTAATTTCTCTAATGTTATTGCTGGGGGTGTAATAGATATAGATATGTAATTACACAATAAGTGATTTTTTTTGTATTTTATAAACTTCATGTAAGCAAATATAGAATAAACGGTCTTTTAAAGGACGACAACAAAAATTTTAAAACTCATTGAATTTCCTTGCGGATGGCCATACCTAAAGAGTCTCTTAAGCCTCGGTTCCCTACAAAGCGGAACCGCTAAAGAGCGGCCTTTATTTGACGGAGTAATCGTATTTTTTTTCGATCATACGGCGCTACTATAGGCTGTTCCACTCTTAATAGAGTAAATATGAATCATCTCTTCAAAGAAGGGCAATTGGATACATTGGTGTTGAAAGACGACTTAGAAGAAAGAGTTGCATTACAGTTTATATCTGTTTCTAAATAAAATATTTGGGATATTTATAGAAGTTTTTACAAAAAAAACAAAATTTCAAATAATTTATTACAAAATTGTTACAACAAATCCTTTTTTAGAAGTAATAATAGGTATAATTTCTTTTTACTATAATGTCTACAATATTACAGCAGTGCAATATCAATTTATGCACTACTCATTTAAATAATAATAACTAAAATATAACTTAAAATTAATTTATTTCATCACTAAAAAAATCAGTTCAAATGAACAACATCTGAAAAAAAAAATATATATAAAATATATATATATATATATATATATATATATATATATATATATATATATATATATATCATCTTTTATAAAGTATTTTAAAGTAGAATATCACCTGTATTGTTAATTGCCCGAACACTAACACCTTTCTGGACTAAATTTCTCATTAAATTTGTAGTCGCTGCCTGAGATACACTTTTAAGAGCCTCATTCACCGACATGGAGGAACGATTTTCCTTGTTAGATACCTTGGAAGAAGATGGAGCACCCTGCACAATAATCCGAGAATTCTACAAATTAAATTATATCAGTAGCAATATTTTTACCAAACCATATAAATGCTTACTACAGGTAGAATAGTAATATTCCTAAAATTTGTCGGTTTCATTTTTTGTTTCCCTGTTACCATTTCCTTTTTCAAAGCTTCTTGCGACAATGTTTTTTGTGCTTCTTTCAGGATTACTTGAGGTTTGACTTGATTCGGTAGCCCTATTTTGTTGATGATAGCATGTGGGTTTGGTCTTAAGGCACTGCTCTCTTTATTTTTATTAGAAGATTGTTGTTGTAACAGATGCAGGTGTTTCATGTAGTCTCGCATTCTTGCTTGCAACAACGACTGCCTAGTCGTATTTTCTTTGAGTGTTTTATTACCCACAGGTTTGGGTTTATCAGTAGTATTTATACTGAAGGTATTCACACTTGAAGGATTAGTTCGGAAAACTCCTTGTCCTTGTCGTTGAGGAGTAGTCTAAAATGATTTTTCCCGTTAAGCATAGCATATGACATCACAATAACCTCGCTCAGAGAAATATGTAAACATAGTGGGGCTCTGGCAGAAATATTTTAGAACTTGTCTAGATTATCTGAGATATCGTTTTTAAAAAGTTATTTTATTTCTTTATATTTTATAAAACTATTATTTTATTTAAATGCTGGATGTTGTTGTTTGATGAAAGTTTCATTATAAATTACATTTAGATGAAGAGAAAATACCAATAGAGAAAATAGACAAATAACAAGTTGAAATACACTTCAATATCTACTGTGTGGTGTACTGGAACACGGGATATAGGAAACCCATGTAAATTTTAAAAAGGTCAAATATTCGGTATACAGGGCATTTCAAAAAACCTGTTTCATCTCTCGTGGGGAGATTCCTCGCGTAAAAATAAAATTTTTCATATCAACATAGGGCCGATTCTGCTTTGTTTCGTAACTACAGGGTGTTAAGTTTTAATAATCTTTCAATTTATTGTAATTTTCTTCCAAGTACTTTTAGTGATTCGATTGAAATTTTGAGGGTAAAAGTTACCGTAAGTGCTATATATTTTAATCCTAAAAAAGTGTCGATAAATTCATCTTAAAAAGTCTTCGATTTATTATAATTTAAATAATTTTTTCACAAGTGCTTTTTAGCAATTCGAATGAAATTTTATGGGTAATAATAAAATATAAGTGCGATATATTTTAATGCTAAAAAAGTGTCGACAGATTTACCAGGGACGTGCATATGGGCTATCACTGGAATATTTTTGATGATTAGACACTGTTTTTTTTTCCTTTTGATATCAAAATTGTTTAGTAATGATAATAGTAAGAGTAAGTAAGTAGGGCTGCGAACATATCTAACACAGCGGGGATGCTATTTCCAGCAAAATGTCATTTAACCATTGTAACTATTTCAGAAGTTGTGAAAATCATATTTTATACAAAATTACTCTATTTGGTACCATGTTGGTACCTTAAAATTCTTGTAAACAAAATGTTACATCGAATTTAACAATGACAAAATTACATTTTTCGCTGGTAGTTTAATTGTAGGTTTCTCTGGACCTTATTATAAAATTTTAGTAATTTGAAGGTAGATTTTTGCAAATAACATTTAAATGCCGATTCCAAATGAAACGAAATTCTAGACGAAAGCACAGAGGTGTTAACCTCTTCAAAAAATTCTAATACAACTTTTGCATAAAATTATCCATAGTAAGATATTTGACCCTTTCAGAATTTACATGGGATTTACAATGTCCCGTCTTCCGATGCCACCATACGGTAGATAAAAACATTCGTCATAATTATTATAAATATTTACAAACCTTAGTATTTGAAACATCAGCAACTTTGCTGGTTGATGGTGCGCTTGACGATGATAAAATATGGTTTGCGTTCAGTTTAGGATCGAAAGTTTTTACTGGTAATTGTTGTTTAACCCTGTAAAATATAGGTATGTTTTATTTAATATATGTTTTTATTTCGAAATATATACAGGGTGCTACAAATTCGAGGTACGAGCATTGGTATCTCCGAAACCGTAATAGATACGAAGATGGTTAAATTGGGGCAAAGTTGCGCCTTGGGATGTTCACAAAGATGCCATCAAAAAAGTTTTAAAAATTTCAAGGATTGCATTTTTTGATTGATTGAGTTTTTTGGAAAAAAAGGATTTTTTTAAAAATCAATTTTATTTTTTCCTGTCGCCACTTTTTAAAAAATAAAAAATAATAATTAGACTTTCTCATAGCCACTTTATTAGGGCTATCTGTTAATATATTTTGATTTTTAAATTAGCTGATAATTTGTGAGATACAGAGGCCAACTTAATTTATTTAAATACGGACGATATGTACACTTTATACTTTTTTTTTGTTTTGGGTACCTTAACAACAACAAAACTATTTAATTATTATTTAAAATAATTTCAAGTCCGACTCTGATTTTTTAAATTATTTAATCTGATTATATTCATGGCAACGATATTGATCAGCGCCAATTAACATTGAATAAGGAAAATCGAGCCAATTGAAATATTCAAATAAATAATATCCAGATCAGCAATTTAAAGATATTATTTTTAACTTTTTCTATTGTGAATTTGAAATCTCAGTGTACGATCTAATAATATGCATAATATTTAATCGTAGTTATTATAAATAAATAATTTCTAATAATTTTTTAATTCTACAAATCAGTTTCTAATGCCTCTAATGTTCCAAAGGGTTACCACCCTCTCTACTGAACAAATTTATTATTCGTCCAATTTTATTTATAACTCTTTGAACATATCTTCTTATACTTCCGAATGCATTTTGTACTCTTTAACTTTTCTAACTCTGTACTTAATGTTGAAGAATATTGATTTCACTTTTACAAACGCCCCTTGACAACAGGCCCAGGAACCTCGCTGGCCATTATACTGCTCTACCATTTCCAATTCGTCTTCCGGGGAAGTGATGTGATTTTTTTATATTATATTATATTTTTATTATTTATTTTATATCATTTTTATTGCATTTGATTTTCCATATTCATTGTTTTACCTAACTTCATTGTTATGTTTGAAGGCTTATCAATATTGTAATGATGAATAGATTAAATATTTAAAAAAATACAGAGCCGGCTTTAAAATTAGTTTAAATTAGTTGTGTTCAAATGTCCGAAACAAAATAAAAATATAAAGTGTAGCAAGTCATTGTACTCAGGAGACCGAGTTCTTTCAAAAACTGAAATAAAAAATGCAGGTCCGTATTTAAACAAATTAAGTCGGCCTCTGTATTTTACAAATTATCAGCTAATGTGAAAATCTAAAAATACTATCAGATAGCCCTAATAAAGTGGTTAAGAGAATGTGCAATTAGTTTTTTGATTTTCTAAAAAGTAACGACATGAAAAAATAAAATTGATTTTCAAAAAAATCCGTTTTTTTTCCAAAAAACTTGAAATTTCGAATACTTGAAATTTTTTAAACTCTTTTAATGGCATCTTTGTGAACATTCCAAGGCGCAACTTTGCCCCAATTTAACCATCTTGTATCTATTACGGTTACCGAGATACCAATACTCGTACCTCGAATTTGTAGCACCCTGTATAGTAATAAGATAAATTATGAAGGAAGGACAGGATATGTGAAGGAATTTACCGTGAATAAGTTTTTATATTACGTAATTTGACAATGTGAAACATGCGATTGGACCCTGGGGACCGGAGCTTGAGATGAGGTATTATTGGATAGAAATCGTCTTCGGAGGGAATTCGGATCTGGACAGCCCTGGAATACGTATGAAAAAGGGTGTAATTATAAATAAGAACAAAAAAAATCATGTGGCGAATCACCTGCATTATTTTGCACTTATTCATTTACACCCTATATGTATATACAGGGTGTTCCTTAATGATATGCTAATATTTAGGAGGGGGCGGGGGTGATTCTTGGACCTATTTTAAGAAAAAAAAATAATATGAATCTATGTCCTCAACATCTTAACTTGTAAGATGTTGGGTGGTAAAATTCTCAAAAACAAACATTTTTTCATAATTCTGAGGTTATTATAATTATCTTTATGGAATTTCATGCACGTCTTCTATGCATAAAACTGTATTTTTTTGGCCTACAATTTTTTGTTGTTGTACCTATCTCTTAATTTCCATTCAGCCGATGCGATGCTAGAAATGATTTCCACAAAACAATCACCGCATCAGATTTTTAGCGATTATAAGCGACATTTTACTTCAGGGTCAAGAAGTAAAATGATTTTTATTTTTTAAGCAAAAATCAGATGAAATTTTTTAGAAATGAATGAAGATTTTAAAAATAATTTTTATTCTAAGAGAAGTCAGTGGCGTACCATTTTTTCCTTCAAAAATATTCAATTCAAAATCCGTATGGACGTCACTGGTTAAAATACATAAAATTGTACATTAAAATAGGCATTTTGATGGATAGAAAACGTGTATCAAATTTCATGAAGATGTCTGTAATAGCATCGGAGTTAATATGAAAAAAAGATTTTTTTAGAAAAAATGATCACCCTGTATCTCAAAAGTTAAGGTGTTTAGGACATACATTCATATGAAGTTTTTTTCTTAGAATATGTCCAGGAATTACCCCCTTAAATATTAGCATGTCATTAAGGAACACCCAGTATGTATAAGGGGTATTTATTTGGATAAAAAGATGTTAAGGGTAAAAATTGCAGTCTAAAACATATTGTACGTGTTTAAAGCAAGAATAGGCGTTTACGCGTCTCTTTCCTTTTTTGACAATTTGGGGAAAATACCATTGAAAATACATGAAAGAAAACGTCAAATATGTAAAAGACCTAATAAAAAGAAGAAAAATAACATTTCCTTTCTCAATATCAATTTTCTATTGTTTCTGGTTAAGTTTCAATTTCTATACAAAATTTAAATATATTATGTATAGTGTGTCCCCGGATTATCTTTACAAGAGGAAAAGCTTTTATATTATTGACAATTTGGCAAAAATGCATTTTTCGTAAACAATTTTGCTTGTTCTAAAATAGTTAATCCCGTTTATACTTTTTAGAGAAAATTTAAAAATTCATGAAAAATGGTAGAATTTTTTCGTTTTTACGGTAATATATACTCTGTTTTTTTTCTCAGGTAAGATTTCGACAGACGATGACAGAAGAAAAGCAGATGACGTCCCATACCAATCTACTTATTTTACTAAAAAAAGTTTCTAATAATTTTTAAGTTATGTATGGATGGATTTAAATATAAATCCGTCATGCGTCGTGTCTTGTTGTTTTTAACCAGTTTTATTGGTTTATTTAAAAAATGACAGATCGTATTTCAATTTTATTGGTTTGACGGAATGATGAACGACAAACGGACGCCGATGCGTATGAACTCGCCTTTAGATTTTTGTCATTTTTGACGCTTGTCAAAGTCTTGCCAAATTATGTTATAAATTTGTGTCAACTTTTGTTAAATACCCTGCGTTTTGGAAGATGATGCATTTTGATTCGTATTATTACATGTGTTTTGTGTCTTTTGAAGTCAAGTGGAGGAAAAATTGAGTGAAAATTAACTCTAGACCCAGAGCACAGTTTATGGTTAATACTCGCTGCCCAGGCAGAAAGTCTTATACATTAATGAAGTTGCCATCGATAAATAATAAATGTTAATGAAGTATAAAATTTATTTAGTTCTTTGAATAAGAAGACTAAGGAAGGAGCATATCAAAAATCTTAGGTACACCGCGATGGGCCTCAAATATGGCCGACTTAAATTCCGGTTTATCAGTGTCGTTCTAATTTCATTTAAAAAAAATAAAACTATGATGTAGGGTAGATGTGGGGTAGACTCAATAATTTGTTGTTTTATTTTACGTTGTGAATAAATGTTGGTAGTTATTAAAATTGTTATAAAAATATATAATTCTAATAAAAATAGATAAGTTATAATAAGTATTTATTAACACAAACATCCGATACGCAACTGAAGCAGGTAAGTCAAATTAACGTATCTAAATTCTTTGACATCTAATCTTTGACAAGTAATAAATAAAAGCTAAAATGCAAGAAAAATATATAATTTAGTTAATTTAAGTGAATTTCATAAATGATCGGTTTACTACACGTATATATATTATATAGTCACTTACTAGCGAAAAGTTGTTCCATTATTTCACTCAATTTTTGCCGAGATCTACCGCACGCTACACAACCAACTTTTTTTAGAGTCTTTTTCGATAAATCGCGATAGTGTCACTGTTCATTTAAGTTCTGCCACAATTTCCATCTAGATTTACTACCTTTATACAACTATCAGTAGTAGAATAAATAATAAATAACATAAAATAAGCTCCGTAAAGACTGACAAATCCACAAAATTTCAAATCAAATTCAAATGTGTCAAATGAATCGTCAAACAGAACTGTCAAGGATCCCCACCCTAGAGTGCTTTTATGGTGCTTTTTCCGCCCACCATGCATGAATACATGGATAGCATTGTGCTCCTTCCTTAGTCTTCTTATTCAACGATTTAGTTCAATGATTCGGAAAGGGTGATAATAATTACCGGAAAATATGACACTTTAATAACAGCAAAAAATATGACGTTAATCAAAATCATTAATAACCATCTATCAAAGAATGAAATCGAATACGTATTACCATAGAGACCGCCTTGTGATTTTTAGAACTCATCATGGAACTCATAAAGTGATAAAATAACCAAACTTAGTGAAATAAATTAAAATATCTTTGTTACAAAGATCGTTAACAGTTAACAGCGTTTTTAAAGAAGCTTTATAGTGTTTTAAAAGTCAATTGGACTGGTTTGGGACTCCGACTTAATTTGTTTGCCCAGAAGCTCTATTCTTGACCTCATTCGCTACTTTGCTTATACGCATTGTTTTGTTATACGGCATTCTTGGATATACGAGTCATAGATAAATGAAACAAGTTTAGATTGGAAAGTGCCCATAAGGACAATGTAAACACTATTTGGCGCTATTCTTGCAACGGTCGCGACCCAAAACTTTTGAAAATTTCGGAGCGGTTCGGCTTTTTCCGGAATTATATCGCCAAATATTGTTTATTCAAATTTATTATTATTTTCGTTTAATTTTATAAATAAAATACAGTGTGTTGCATACAAGAAACTTTATTTTATATAAGGACGCATGTATGAAATACCTATGAAACATTGGAAACCGACGTTATGCCACGATCCACGATGGTTTTGGCAGTTCACAGTTCTCAGCACAGCTTTTTAAGTTTTTAATGCCACTTTTTCACAATTATCACCGGTTGGAGTAAATAAAACGTGTATTAAACTCACAAGATAGCAATAATTACTTTGAGAATGGACGCTATAAACACTTTTCGCAATTTCTTTAATTAGAGCGGTTTAGATTTTGAAAGATTATTATGATTTTTGAAGATTCTGACTTTGACAAGAGAAAATTATTTCTGTTTTTGTTTGCCGTTGTTCTTAGCGACCGCTATAGCAGCGCCAGATCGCGTATAATGGCCGCGACCCAAAATAATTTCGCGACCTAAAATTTTTACGGGCTTTCCAATCTAAACTTGTTGCATTTATCTATGATACGAGTAGTCAAGAATAGGTACCCAAACCAATTCAACTGACTATACTAATCCTAGATCATATACCGGGTGCGTCTCAAAAGTAGCTCACCCCTATAACTTTTTTATTTTTTCAGATAAATAAACGAGATTTGGTATGTTAGTATATGACATAAATTACGATTGATTGACGTATTCAATTGTTTTCGGTCACTTCCTGTTTCACCGGAAATGACTAACTTTTGATTTTTAAATGACACCCTCGGTATTTTTTTACTTTATTCGATAGTAAATGATACTCTCAATCGAATGCCATATCATATGTCAACTTTTGACATATTCGCTCAAAAACAAATTGTATTTTAAATTTCAATCTTGAGTGTCATAGCTGTGTTAAAAACACTAATTTTTAATCAAGGAACTTTGGAAAAATAAATTTGATCGTCTAATGTTTTTAGTGTCTTGTCCTAGTCGGTTAAAAGATGCCTAAATCGTATTTTTAATCATATCTCAATTTTTTCAAATGGAACGAGGGTGGCTCATTAGCATATTTGGAAAAAGCATTTTCTTAAGAATAATTTGATACCACACACTTGGTATTTTGAGTCAAATTGTCGTTATGAACCGCAGGTTACAATTTCAAATAAACCATATGCGAAAATGTCAAAAGTTGACATATGATATGTCATTCTATTCAGAGTGTCATTTTCTATCGAATAAAGTAAAAAAAATACTGCGGGTGCCATTTAAAAATCAAAAGGTGTAGTCATTTCCGGTGAAACCGGATGTGACCGAAAACAATTGAATATGTCAATCAATCCTAATTTATGTCGTATACTAACATATCTCGTTTTATCTGAAAAAATAAAAAAGTTATAGGAGTGAGCCATATTATTATGTGAGTATAGTGAGCCATTAGGACCAAGCGCATTAAAAAAACTGAACGTATTTCCAATATAATCACAAGTATTATATTTTTTTTCGTTTGAATTGGAATGGTTAATCATTGGTTAGCAAACTATAATGTATCAGTTAATCATTTAGGAATAATTATAATAGTTTTATCATGGTTTTTAACATCTTATACAACAAGTACAATTTTAAATGGTTGAAAAGGTGCAAATTAAATATCCACAGGGTGTTTCAAAAAATATGTCCAATCTCTCGTGGGGAGATTCCTCGCATAAAAATAAGATTTATTTCTTATATCAACATAGGTTCGATTCTGCTTTGTTTCGTAGCTACAGGGTGTTAAAGTCTTATTTTAAAAAAAAATGTATGCCACTGGCTTTTTAAGTCTTGCTAGCAAAATCGTGTAGGCCGTTTAATGCCGATTAAAAGTTGTATCTTGATATTTTGTCGATTTCAATCCGCTTGATGAGATAAACCAAACATATTTAAACTCAAGTTTAAATATCTTTGAGATAAACGCAATTTTGTTAATCACAATTAATGAAACGAAAATTAAAATAAACATTAATAAAATGGTGCCCGGTGGCGTAGAGGTACAGGCTCTCGTCTACCAATCTCAAGGTAGTGGTTCGAATCCTACATCAGCCGACTATTTTTATTAAAATAAAAATAGTTTGGGTACCTAGGTCGAGTCAGCCTTAAATGAGTACTTGGGATTCACAATCCTGAGGCCACTAGCCACATTACCTTCCTTGTATACCGAACAGCTCTAGCATGGTAAGCTGTACCTTGCTACTCCCAAGGCGTTAAACGCTATATACGGGAGCTATTATTATTAAAATTAAAATAAAATTAATAAATTATTTATTTAGTCTAATTTATTATTACATTTTATTAAAATACCTGTAACTTTAAAACTACGCATTTCATATTTGTTGATAACGACTCAGTGAGTACTTATTTAACATTTTGGCAAGTTAATGATATTAAACTTTCAATCAATTTTACTAACAGAAGAAAAAACTCAGTGGCGCACGTTTTTTTTTAGAAAAATATTCCAGTGATAATCCATATGCACGTCCCTGGTGAATCTGTCGACACTTTTTTAGCATTAAAATATATTGTACATATATTTTACTTATACCCTTAAAATTTCATTCGAATCGCTAAAAGCACTTGGGAGAAAATTATAATAAATCGAAAAAAAAAATTAAGACTTTAACCCCCTGTAGCCCTAGATACAAAACTAAGCAGAATCGGACCTATGTTGATATAAAAAATAAATCTTATTTTTACGTGTGGAATCTCCCCACGAGACATGGCACATGTTTTGTGAAACACCTTGTATAAGGAGAACCCTGGGAACTGTCTTAAAAATCATAAAACTGATTTTTTAAGTTTTTATATTGCAAAGAATGCAAATGTGTTCAGCTAGGAGGTAAATTTATATTTCTTTATAGTTGTATATCAATTTTTAAAATTCATATTAAAAATTTGGTGCGTGGATGTAGAGTAGCAGTACCGCGCGCGCAACAAAGTATAGGATAACAGTACGTCGTTGATACATTTGTGACAGTTTTTCTAGCTAATTACTTATCCGCGTAAGTATATTAATACGATCTAGAATAGCAGTTTTTCTAGAAGAATTAATAAGTAATTTTGCAATGAAATAAAAAAAAATGTAAACAAGCTATAACGTAGAAATATCGACTTACCGCACATTAGCTACACCCGTCAGTGGCAAGGAATAGTTATGATCGAAGTGAGCCTTGGCCGGTCTGTTCCGGAAAAAATAATTGAAAAACACATTAGAACTTCTTTTATCTTGAAAATGTGTTGAAAAATTGAATGTCTAATAATAGAAAATCACACCTAACTCAATTATTATTACTGTGATGGAAATCGAAAACAAAAACACCGTGACTTAATAAAATTATATATTCTATTTCTTAATCACAGTAAAGCGGGTATATAAAGTTTAAAAATAAAATAATGTATAATAAAGTCACTCCAATCCATATCTTTGGTTTAAAATTCAGGAATAGGTATTTCAGCTAGTAAATCAGCTAAGGAATCCTGACTCAGCTCAAAGCTTTTCGGATTTTTTTCCTTTTCCGGCTCAGACGGACCAGACGGTTCTTCACCAGTATCAAAATGCAGCAATTCTCGCTCAGATTTTTCTTGGGTCTCGCTAGAGACAGTGCCAGTTCCTTCGTCAGCAGTTGTCAAATCTATATTGACAGGAAGGTCCACGGCATCTGTGAGGTCGATATTATAGGAAACACGAGGAACGTTGGCGTAATGTTGCTGTTTATAGGGTCCCCTGGGTCCCCTTTTAGCTGCTGCTTTTCCCACATTCCTTGGCCTGAAACCAACGAACAATGTGACAGAATAAATAATTGACAGATATACTTTAAATTTTTGTTCCATATCTTTTTATAAGCAATCTTTAATTAGCGCAGGGATGGGCGTTTGCGGGTCTATTGTTTTTTTTTCTAGAAACGGCTAAGCAAGATTTGGAAGGTGCGCACGTTTTAAAAGGTCTAGGAACAAAAAGGGTTTTTAAAATAGTTTTGTGTTGTATTTTAATTAATATTGTGTGTATAGTTGGAAAATAAATTCGTTAAGTGTTTTATCGTGCGTTTTTAATAAAGGACCCCCGGAATCTGTAACAATATCTACAAGAAATAAAAAAAAATATTATTATAGTAGGTAGTAAGATGACCAAACACAATGTGCAATTTATTATAATCTTTTTTACGAAGGTCATTGACGGTTACCAGTTTTCAGAGCAGCTTTAGTAATCTGTGAACGTATTTTTTTACAGTTTTTACGTTGTTATTAAACGTAAAAATCATCCTTGTAAAAAAATTGTTTTTGCACAAAGTTTTTTTACACGTCCATCCCTGGTTTTTCTGAAGTATAATCATAGCATAATTATAATTATTAAGAAACAACTGAAAAAATCTGAAAAAAAATAAAAGTATTATTTCACTTCTGGAAAAAATATTCTATAGGTCTTAACAAAAAAAATCCTAACATCTTACGTACCTCTATAATTTTGAACTGGAACTCGATATACAATAACAAAGCCAAAACATATTTAAATTTTCTATTAGACATTCAATTTTAACACACCAATAAATAATATAAAACAAATGTGTTGAGAATTGCTTGTAATTATTTGAAACGCGTATAAAACACACAATAAGATATTCCAATGTAAAAAAGGTGTCAATATAGTAATTTTCTTGGATAAAACCGTATAAACTGATTAAATGTATGCCAGTGGCTTTAAAAACAACGATAATTCCTCAACACACACAATATTAAATATAAATATACTTACGTTGGAGGACTTTGAGTAAACTGATTTATGTGCAAAGCGCCAGAATGTCCAGGTTGAGGAATTCCATCCACTATATGTCCCGGTACTTGAGGAAAAGCTCTGGGATATTTAAATGGTACCACTGGTGGTGGCGGTGGAGGTTCTAAAGTAAAACAAATATATTATATACCGTATGATCGAGAAAAAACGGCGTCAGCGATGGCTATGAAATAAAGATCACTGTCAATTTATATGTGGAAATGTCGTCATTTCCCAGCCAACTGGACGTCGTTTTTTTTTTCGATCATACGGTATAAGAACTGAATTTTGATGAAAATGGTGCTTACCATCCTTACGATTGAATTCCTCCCAGGCAGCGTTTTTCTGTTGTTCGTTCAAATGTTCCTCAGGCTGATTGGCTAAAAGTTGTCTGTGCTCGTGCCATTTGTACAAAAATGGAAACTTCTGAATTAACTTTCCTAGAATCTGTAATAAAATAGTGTAATTTAATAGCAACAAGAATAGACAGATTTAACTGTCCAAAAAATTGTTAAAACATAAATGTTCCAAAAATTATTTTTTTATAGGATCAAATAATTTGAGTCTTAAGCTGGGTTGTCACTGCGCGAAAATATGCGAATATTTTTGGGCGACAGTCCTCGGGGATCTAGGCGAAAACAAGGTGATCGCCAGTTGGCGCGAGACAATGACAAAGTTTCTTTGGGTTGTCATTAGCAGATAATAAGAATAATAATGAACTCAATTAATTTCAAAGGCTTATTATAATTATATACAGGGTGGCGCACCTCATTCGCCTCGGTTGATTATACGAAAACGGAAAGATGTAGAAACAAAATATTTTATGAGTATATGTGGGGAGGCAATGTGCACAATTTAAAATTATTTTGAAATATACAGGGTGTTTCAGAACTAAGATCCATACCAAAGTGATATTTTTTCTTATGGAACACCCTGTATTTTATTTCATTTTTGGATTGTTAGGTCCAAAAAAGGCATTTACTATAAGGGTTAAATATCTTTAAAATCTTTGGTTTTTCAGATATTTAAAGATATTTAAATTTGTATGCTACAAGAAAATAGATTATTAACACCCTGTACATTACTTTTCAGAACTAATTCTTATGCTGAGTTGAAAGGTAGAGAAATAAACTTTACAGAAAAATGTTATTGCTTCATTAAATTTATACAGGGGTATCAAAAATTGCTGATCTATTTTAAGAATATATTTTACATAAAAACTTCGTTATTTCAAATACAACACCCTGTATTTTAAATAACTCGAAGCAGATTCAAATGCTCTTTCAAACTATATTAGGGTTTCCTATACCTAACTAGCTCAGATTTTGAATAAAGATCAATTTTTCAATAAAATGGCAACCCAGAGGGCTAGTGCCGTCATGGCAAGTTTGTAGTGACAGTTAGAAGCTATTTTCAAAATCCAAATTAGTTCATGGACTTATTTAAATTTATACCAGTTTACTTTTATTTAATTTACCTACAATAGTTTAATAAATAATATTTATTAAATATGTATTTATTATTCTATCAAGAAAAACGAAGAAGTAGCGTTCTTTGATTTATTTTACGATGACTTGTAGATATATGGATTTTCTATAAAGAGGCAATTATGGCAAATTCATTTTCTTCACTTCCAACGACAGATTTCTGCCTAATAGGTTTTTTAGAAACCACACTACCATCTCTGCGAAATAAGAAAAGTAGTTTTTCAAAGGAACGCTTATCAGGAAGATTCCTATTTGGATTTCTTTAAGCATAAGCCCTTGAGGCCAAGAAGCAATTTTTCCCACAAAATAAAATCACTAGTAACATATCTATTCGTCCACCAGCAGATACTGCTTTATTTTTCTTGATAAAATAATGAATACTTATTTATTAAACTATTGTAGGTAAATTTCAGTAAACTGTTAAAAATTATAAATAATAATGTCTATAAACTAATGTTGACTTTGGAAATAGTTACTAACTGTCACTATAAAATTGCAATAACGATACCAGCCATCTTGACTGCAATTTTATTTAAAAATCGCTTTTTATGCAAAATCTGAGCTAGATAGGTATAGGAAACCCTAATATAGTTTGAAAGAGCATTTGAATCTGCTTCAATTTATTTAAAAAAATACAGGGTGTTGCATTTGAAATAACGAAGTTTTTATATAAAATATATCCTTGAAACAGATCAGCAACTTTTGATAGCCCTGTATAAATTTAAGGAAGCAATACCATTTTTCAGTAAAGTTTATTTCCCTACCTTTAAACTCAGCATAAGAATTAATTTTGAAAAGTAATGTACAGGGTGTTAATAATCTATTCTATTGTAGCATGCAAATTTAAATATCTTTAAATATCTCAGAAACTAAAGGATTTAAACATATTTAACCCTTATGATAAATGCCTTTTTTGGGCCCAGGAGTCCAAAAATGAAAGAAAATACCGGGTGTTCCATAAGAAAAAATATAACTTTGGTATGGATCTTAGTTCTGAAACACCCTGTATGTTTCAAAATAATTTTAAATTGTACACATTGTCTTCCCACATATACCCATAGAATATTTTCTTTCTTCATCTTTCCGTTTTCGTATAATCAACCGAGGCGAATGAGGTGCGCCACCCTGTATATATATATATATATATATATCGTTTTAGCCTAATTATATTCTAAAATATATCAAATTTCTTACAAACGTAGAATTTTTCAGTTTTATATCCACGTCTATAGTTTTTCTGTTCCGTGAAAACTTGTAAAATAATAACTTACCTTATCTTCTGGTACATTAGGCAATGGTCTATCATTAAGAACCTCAGGTCTTACGGAGTAAAACTCTTGAATATCGTGCATATTATACAGTCTTTTGACCTGGTGTTTATCGACCACCCTGTGTGCAATAGCCAATTTGTTCACCTGCCTCTTATACCTTCTCTCCTCCATTGTATCCATAGCTATCAGTCTGTAAACAAACACTTCTTTGGTTTGGCCAAATCTAAATACTCTAAATACGCTCTGAACATCGTAGGAAGGATTCCAGTTCACTGAAGTGATGATCACCCTGTTGGCAGCTGTCAAATTTAAACCTAAACCGCCTACTTTAGTTGACATGATCAAAAGTCTAAAAAGTAAAAAAAAATACAGAAGCAACCCTGAACAAAATTCCTAAATTAATCGAAAAACATTGAATAAAAAGACTAAGGTAGGGGTCGTTACTACTTTTATTTCTTATATTAGAGGCGTTATAATGACGTCAGAAGACGTAATTTTTGACATTTTTGTTAGACGTTACACATGATACATTTCAGATTTGATTTTCTGCAGATTAAAAAAAAACATGTGCAATCTTTTGTGGAGAGATTTCTCACCGAAAAATAATATCTATTATTTTACATCAACATAGATTCTGGTTTGTCGCGTCAGACAACACTGGCGTGCTATAAATATTTAAATAACATTACTTACTTATACCAAAATTTAAAAAATACCAAATTTGTTTAATTTTTAATTAGAATTAGAAAATTAAGAAGAAAAACAATAAAAAATTACTAAAATCGCGCAACTATATTACAAATAACGACTGCACTGTTCTACAAGCTTGATCTACTACCGTTTAAATCGATCTTAGAGCGTCAGCATACGGGTCGTCTAGCTTTCGAAGCGGAAGAGTCTCGAACTCCGAGCGAATCTCTCTCTACTCTACCTTTGTATGTAAATAATAGTATCAAGCTGGATTTATAAACTCGGAAGTTGAGGTTCAGTTGCCGTTCAAAATGTCCAACGCGATTGTTGCGGACCCGTACCGTGTGAACTCGGCCTTAGGCTTGGCCATTCGGCTATGACTCATACGCCCACCGACGTTCGAAGAACGCCGCTAAGAATTTTCGAGATATGTCTGGACTGTCTGTTTCTCTCATATATAAGCTGAGGCCCGAAACCTGAAGGAGATAGAGATAAATAACCGATCGACACGTACAGTTACAATCGCCGCGCTAATTCAAAATAAATTTCTGATAGATAAATAATTAGATAAATTGTAAATAAGTTATAAATAGTTCTTTAAGTCTTTTAATCGTTATTGTTTTTGTTAATTAGTGTTAAATAAATTGTGACTTTCTATCCACCCGCAACCGACGAAAAACGTAACAACTGGTGTCAAGTGTGGCGTGTGTGATAGACTAGAAAAATAAAAAGACTGAAAATGGCTTCGAAAAAATTGTTAAAAGACTTGAAAGTGTCGGAATTAAAATGCATATTGGAAGAGAGGGAGTGCGAGACAGATGGAAAGAAAAGCATTTTGCAAGCCAGACTGAGAGACGTTTTGGTGGAGGAAGGTGAGGATCCTAACACATTTTGCTTTGAGTTGGAAGATGACCTTGACTCGTCCTTACAAAAATTAGAAGACAGTTTGAACGATAAAATTACAGAGAATTCTCAAAAATTAGAAGACAGTTTGAAAGATAAAATTATGGAAAATTCTCAGGATTTAATTAATATTTTAGAGGATAAAATCATAGAAAATTCTAAAGATCTACAAGCCAGTTTCAATGACAAAATACTTAATTTAGAAGAAAAGATAACAGAAAATTCCAGGGAATTAGAAGAAAAGATTATAGAGAATTTTACGGAGCTACAAGACAAAATAACACAAATTGAGGACGATGTAAATAAAAAAATCGAAATTTTAAAAGAAGAAATAGCAAAGGCAAATTCACCAAAAGGTCAAGAAACATCGGAGGCACCGAAATTAGTCGAAAATAAGTATATCTCAAAGTCAGTTATTAAGCCTCCACAGTTTGACGGAAAAACCGCTTGGGCCAATTATTTTTAACAGTTTGAGGCCGCTGCGAGAGCGAACGGATGGACAATCGCTGAAAAGGCTACCGCTTTGACTGTTGCACTGCGAGGAGATGCGACTGATATCCTGCAGACAGTGTCACCATCCGAACAGGGAGATTATCAGCAATTGGTACGACATTTAGAAATGAGGTACGGCCAAGCTCATTTGGAACATGTCTATCATTCCCAGCTAAAAAATCGCATTCAAAAAGCAAATGAGTCTCTGCAGGAGTTTGAAGCCGATGTAGCCCGTCTCGTTCGCCTTGCGTACCCTGCTACGCCCGAGAATGTTATGGAGCGGTGGGCAGTACAGGCATTCTCCGACGGCTTACGTGACAATGAGACAAGACAAGCACTTCTCCTAGCCCACCCAACGCGCTTGGTGGATGCTTTAGCACGTGCCCTAGAATTTGAGGCCGCGAAACAAAGTTCTCGGTCTCTAGTGAGAGTACGGGCGGTCAACCAATGTTCCGACGAATCCGTGGAAAGCATTGTACGGAAAGTCATGGAGGAGTACATGGGCAAGAAAGGACCGACTTGTTGCTGGAATTGCGGCCAGGCAGGACACGTAAGAAGTCACTGTAAAGAAAAGGACGTGGACCCGGTTTCGCCAAGTGTCGAATCAAAGGGACACATATCGAGCAGTACCCAACAGGTTCTCAAGTCGCATCGCTACAACACAAGTTCAACAGCATTTTTGTCAAGAATCCTGAAGGGCAGGTAGCTAGATGGATTGAACGATTACAAGAATTTGATTTCGACACAGAACATCGAGCTGGGGCGATCCATCAAAATGCCGACGCACTTTCCAGAAGACCTTGCGATAAGGACTGTAAGCATTGTTCCCGAGCAGAAGAGAAAGAAGCGAAACTCCTAAGAATAACTGTGGTTAACGATACTTGGCAACCCGAAGATCTTGCAAACGACCAAATCAATGACCCAGAATTAGGCTTAGTGATTAACTGGAAAAATGGGGACCAAAGACCAACGTGGGAGGAAGTTTGCAGATATTCGCCGAACGTGAAGTCGTACTGGGCCCAGTGGAATTCCTTGGTAATAGATGACGGGTTACTTCGCCGTGTAATCGAGAGACCAGAGGGACAAGAAGAAAGAAGACAGATCGTCATTCCAAAGAAGAGGATTCCGGAAGACTTGGAGGAAGTTCACAATGGAACCAGCGGTGGACATCTTGGTGTTACCAAGACGAAGAAGATGTGAGGGCCTGGTGCAAGAAATGTGACGTTTGCGCCGCCATCAATGGGCCACAAAAGCGCGGTAAAGCTCCAATGCGCCAGTACAATGTAGGCAGTCCTTTCGAACGAATAGCGATCGACGTGGCTGGTCCTTTCCCGGAAACGAACGATGGTAACAAATACATTGTGGTAGTAATGGATTACTTCTACTTCAGAAAATGGGTCGAGGCCTACGCGTTGCCAAATCAAGAAGCGTCCACCATTGCTGATGCCCTTGTTAAGGAATGGATCTGCAGGTTTGGTGTTCCCATGGAGCTGCATTCAGATCAGGGAAGAAACTTTGAGTCCAATCTGTTCCAAGGCGTCTGTGAAGTCCTTAACATCCGCAAGACCAGGACGACTGCTCTGCATCCACAATCCGATGGGATGGTTGAACGCATGAACAGAACCATCAACCGTTATTTGGCCAAAGTAGTCTCTGACCACCAAAGAGACTGGGACAAATTTCTTCACCTGTTCCTGTTGGCCTATCGTTCATCCGTCCAAGAATCCACAGGGCAAACGCCAGCCAGCATCGTTATGGGACGGGAAGTGCGCCTACCTTGTGACCTGAAGTTTGGTTGCCGACCGGGAGAAGATGTCGCCGGAGAAGATTATGTTCATAGACTACGCCAAACGATGGACGACATCCATCAGCGAGTCCGCCTAAATATTCAAAGCGCTAGTGACCGAATGAAGGAGCACTACGACATTCAAGCTGAACATGGAGGGTACCAACCAAGGAATTTGGTGTGGCTGTACAACCCGCAGAGACGTCGTGGATTATCTCCGAAGCTACAATCCTCGTGGGAAGGCCCATACGAAGTCATGGATAGGATCAAGGATATATAGAATAAGGATATTCGACTGGCCCAAAAAAAACGTGCCGTATTTTGTCGAGGAAGACGATTTCGTCACGACCAATGGGCGTCGAGTATTTGAAATTGAAAACATATAAATTGACGGTAACCTATGTTTTTTGACTCATTTCTTGCTCATTTCACTGACAAATGTGATGAAATTGTTATTGTAATTTATAGATCCAAAATCCAAACGTTTTTTGAATAAATAATTTATTTTAAAGTTATTTCCTAGAGGTTTGGTTTGGCCTTCTATATTCTGGTATTTGTCTACTAATAAATAATATCTTATTTTGTATTTCGATGTATGGAAATCCGCAAGTTTTGTATCTGAAGCCGCAAAGAAATTTCGTTCTATAGTGAGAAAAAATGTTATATCTTTTAGACGCGTAGAATAACAAAATTTCTTATTTCAGATGTTCTAAATGTGAGTGCTTAATGTCAAAAATTAAAATATATACTTGAAATATTTCAAGTTATACCCTTTGCCCTTTGAAGTAAACAAATATTGAAGAAAGTGTTGTGCCTTCACAGAATTTAAATTGGCATTAGGAATAGATTTCCTTGATTTAGTAATGATATTGCTCATAGAAATTGATAATATACTATTTTATATTCACTCGTTCAAGTGCTGATCTATTTTTAAATTGAATATTTATGTAAGTATTATGTATAACACGATATAAATAATTTAAGGACATAAGAAATTAAAATTTCAAGTGCCAATATTGATTATTTTTCCAGTTTTATTCAAATATATTGAAATTAATATGGAAACAAAAGTTCATAAATATTAGTTTGAAAAGCCATGTCAGAAGAGTAGGATTAAAGACAAAGTATTAAGGTAACATATATTTGCATAAAGTTTTAATAACACTGACAATTTTATTTGTTTATGTTTATTAATTAAAATTTAGTTGCAATTTATTTCATATTCTAATATTTTTGAGAAAATTTTACTTAGATACATACCTGAATATTATGCTGCTTTTTATTTTAAAGTGTGCCGACTGTGCTGTTATTTTTATACTAGTAATATTGTATACTGTAGGTATCGTATTCATATATAGTTATATATATATATATATATATATATATATATATATATATATATATATATATATATATATATATATATATATATATATATATATATATATAATATATATATCAGTAGTATAGATACTTACTTTCTTTCTATGCGTACTTATATCCTTTATAGTCTTTCTAAGTGCATATAATACTACTTTTTTAAGAGAAGGCAGTTTTTAATAATCTATTGTTAATTCCCCTAATTCTGTGTCCCCTGGTTCTGCTATACAACAATTATATATTTTTTTATCATTACTGATTTTAAAAGTTTCTTTTCAAAGAATTTGACCATATATTTTTTTTTCAGAGTAATTGGGCTGTTCCTGAACAATATTGAATATAAATATTCAAAAATATGATAAACTGCATATCCTACTAAGTAGATCAATACCAAAATTCCATTAGAGAAATAAGTTAAAATTATGTTTTACTTGTATAATTTTCTTGCTATTTGTCCACCATTATTTGTGACTTAGAAATTAAATAGTCAAAAAGAATTTAGTACCAGTTTTTATTTCCCAAAAAAAATAATTGTTAAATAATTACATATTGCTTAAGATACAGTATATTATATTGTGTTTATAGTTGATAATTCTAGTTCTTAGTTGTTTATAGTTGATAATTAACAATATTTCTGATGTTAGATATTATATTAGATAAAAAATTTAATTACCAATAGCTACCTACCTATGTAGCTGCAGATTATATATTGTGTAGTAGGTACTGTATAATTCTTTAGTTCAAGAAACAAATATCAGTACAAGTATATAACCAAAAAAATGTTGATGCAAATTCTTTGTATAACATACGTACCCCTATGGTATTCAACTTTTCATTGTTCTTTTAATTAGATACAAAATAAGCACATTAATTTGTTTATTAAACAACCAAAACTCTAACTACTTAAATTCACAATATAAATATCACAATAAATGTATAAGCTTTGATCAATTCCTATTATTAATACCTGACGACTTCATACTTTATAACTACCAATGGCTATCCTACTAACACACTAGCCAACTAATAATAAATCTGTTCTAAAAAAATACAACATAAAGACATCGTTATTGCAATAATATAGAAATATATTCCATGTATCATTAACTACCTAGGTATAAATACAATACCCACATCTTCTTTTAAGCGAATAGTGCGTTAGGAGGCAGAAATATTGCCTGCATTGTACATCGTACAAATTGGCTAGAATTTATTAATATCCATTGCAAACATTTCTCTTTCAAAGAGTCTAAATGTTTTGTCTTTTTACTGTGTCCCTGTAATATGTTATCAATTAACAGTTATCAAATATGACCTGGACAATAATAATTGTTTTAACTTTTTTTCAAACTAAACTCTTTAAACAAACTATATAAATAAAATTTATCTCATAACCTAACTTGCTGCTAGAATTTCTTGTTATTCTATGTTCCTGTATTGTTATTCTTCACATTATCAATTTCTATGAGCAATATCATTACTAAATCAAGGAAATCTATTCCTAATGCCAATTTAAATTCTGTGAAGGCACAACACTTTCTTCAATATTTGTTTACTTCCAAAAAATGTCAAAGCATATAACTTGAAATAATATATCAAGTATATATTTAAATTTTTGACATGCACTCACATTTAGAACATCTGAAATAAGAAATTTTGTAATTCTACACGTCTAAAAAGATATAATAACATTTTTCTCACTATAGAGCGAAATTTCTTTGCGGCTTCAGATAGAAAACTTGCGGATTTCCATACATCGAAATACAAAATAAGATATTATTTATTAGTAGACAAATACCAAAATATAGAAGGCCAAACCAAACTCTAGGAAATAACTTTAAAATACATTATTTTTTCAAAAAACGTTTGGATTTATAAATTACAATAATAATATCATCACATCTGTCAGTGAAATGAGTCAAAAAACATAGGTTACCGTTAATTTATATGTTTTCAATTTCAAATACTCGACGCTCATTGGTCGTGACGTAATCGTCTTCCTCGACAAAATACGGCATATTTTCCTACATAGCCCGCTATAGGGAGTTGAATATCCTTCTTCTATATATCCTTGGATAGGATTAATGACGTCGTATACCGTATCAGAAAATTGCCAAAAGGAAAACCGAGGATAGTTCATTTCAACCGTTTGAGCCCCTACCAAGGCGAAATAGAAGATCGTGCTGGGACCGTGAGAACCTGCAGCTTTGATCCCCCTGATTCGGAAATATCCTTTGACGATTTCATGGCCCGATACAACAGCAGTGAGAAGGCTCGCTATGGTGTAACCAAAGAAGAACAACGAGACCTATTTTCCGTGAATCCTGATTATTCGCTCGCTCACTGTGTGGCCCGAGATTTGCGGATGTCCAGAGGAATCGCTGCGACGTTCAATGAGAAGTTTGGGCGTGTCGGAGAACTACGCCGACAGGATCCAGAGGTTGGAAGCGTCTTGAGGCTAACCGACAATGCACATGGTCAAGCAAGACACATTTCTACCTGGTCACCAAGGAATGGTCCCCGAGTAAGCCGACTTATCTCAATCTATGGAAGACCCTAATTGAACTGAGAGAAGCCCTGCTGAACAATAACATTACACGATTAGCCATTCCGAAGCTGGCGTGTGGACTGGATGGTTTGAGTTGGCGTACAATCCGGAACATGATTGAAGTCTTGTTTAGAGATCCTCGTTTGCTGCTATAACCCAAAGCTGAGATCGGACGAGAAAACTGTAGACAGCTTTTTCTACCAGACTTCTCAATGCACCAGGGGCCATCTTTGCAAATACCTTCATTGACCGTGTACATCTCGGGACGAGCATGTACCTAAGAAGGGGGCAGTGTTGCGGACCCGTATCATGTGAACTCGGCCTTAGGCTTGGCCACTCGGCTATGACTCGTACGCCCACCGACGTTCGAAGAACGCCGCTAAGAATTTTCGAGATATGTCTTTACTGTCTGTTTCTCTCATATATAAGCTGATGCCCGAAACCTGAAGGAGATAGAGATAAATAACCGATCGACACGTACAGTTACAATCGCCGTGCTAATTCAAAATAAATTTCTGTTAGATAAATAATTAGATAAATTGTAAATAATAATAATAATAATAATGCCTTTATTTCCAAAAAAAAGTAAGATAAAATACAGTTAATTATTAATACATTAAAATAGTAAGAAATTAAATAATTACACCAAAGTAAATAAGTTATAAATAGTTCTTTAAGTCTTTTAATCGTTATTGTTTTTGTTAATTAGTGTTAAATAAATTGTGACTTTCTATCCACACGGAACCGACGAAAAACGTAACACTATGAAATGAACGCGCGCATTTATAGTCAGTTGGTCGAAAAGTTGGCAGTTCGTTTTACGTTCAGCGGAGTTCAAAGATGGTCAATGTCTATGTCGGCAGTTGGCGACGTTAGAAGCACAGTACGCCGTTGCATTGGAAAATGACCCTTATTGTTGTTTCATTATTTCTGTTAATGTAATGTTTATATTTTGCGTAATCTTGGATTATTGTGTTTGAACTTTGACAAATATCAAAAGTATTTTTAAATCGAAAGAAAAACGTTCGAAATTTAAACAATCCCAAACCTAACCTACAACCGAAACTGACAGTTTATAAATGCAAAAATATTGAACCTCAACTGCCGCGAACATCCAACTGCAACTGAACCTCAACTCCCGAGTTTATAAATCTAGCTTCAATCAGTTCCACTCCGCGTCGACCGCCAATCGACCCGTTTGTGGACCTACTATTATATACGCAGGAAATAGAATGGAGATTCGTTCCAAGATCGAGACGCTTCCGCTTCGCGTTTGAGACGACACGTGGAAATCCCGGTTCTGAACCCTGATCTAGGTGTACGTTACAAATATATTTTTAACGCTTTTAAAAACTAATAACATTTACTGACTCAACGTAAAACAAAAGCAGCAAATTATTGAGTTTACCTTCATATTTTAACGCGTTTTAAATGACATTTGAAAATAAAAAAAAGAATGAACGCTACAGATAAACCGAAATTTAACACTCAATCGAAAATGCGTTAATTTTACTGATTATGACTAATAACGGTTTTGCGGGCTGTTAGGCCGTGGTCAAGAGTGGTTGGCTCCATAGCTTTCGACTGCATCTGCGGCAGTCATCATCAGTGGCGTAGAGGTCGAGGGTGAAGTGAACGACTCGACAACTGGACTGGTACTGATACGGAGGGGAGGGGTTGCGCGCCTTTTATAGCATCTTGGCCCAGGCGGTGTGCAGGGAGCGTGGTTTGCTTGTGATCGCTGGTGAAGGGACGTTTTATTTCTGTATTATCGAGCAGCGTGTACCATATTTTGTTAACGTGAAGCCCTTCTTCTTTTCTGTTGAAGTTGTTCTTATGTTTGTGGATTTCAATCGCTTCACGATGTAGTCTTGCAAAGTAATGATTCCCTGTTGAAAGGACTTCCGTATTATTGAACAGAATTTGATGATCTTCCTGTGTTATTGTGTGTTCGGCCAGGGCTGATTTCTCTGTTTGTCCGAGACGGCAAGATCTTTTGTGCTCAGTCAAACGTGTATTAATAATACGTTTTGTAGTACCAACATATACTGAGTCACAAGAACACGGAATTCTATAGACCCCAGCGGAGGAGAGTGGATCTCGTGGGTCTTTAGCCGAGCGGAGATGTTCTTGTATCTTTCGAGTGGGTTTGAGGATCGGTTTTATGTTCCTCTTTCTTAATAAATTTCCAATGCGGTCAGTGACCCCTCTGATGTATGGAGGTCTACACCTAGGTCTTCTAGGTCTTATGGCTCGTCTGATCGTCTGCTCTCGGTATCCATTGGCTTGTAAGGATCTGTCTAGGTGTTCTAATTCCTCAGTGACGTGTAGAGGTTCACAGATTCGGCAGGCTCTGTCAACAAGTGTTTTTATGACCCATCTTTTTTGACCGGGATGGTGACTTGAATTATTGTGTAGGTAGAGATCGGTATGGGTGTTCCGTATCAGTACCAGTCCAGACTTCGAGTTGTTCACTTCGCCCTCGACCTCTACGCCACTGATGAAGACTGCCGCAGATGCAGACGAAAGCTATGGAGCCAACCACTCTTGGCCACTGCCTAACAGCCCGCAAAACCGTTATTAGTCATAATACCGGCCGTGAAAGCCTACACAATTTTACTGATTATGTATTTTCATTCAATGAGAAAAATAAATGATTTTACAGGAAAAACATTAAGGTATTTTAATTATGATTTTAGATGTTGATTCCATTGGTCTTACCTTAGTCTTTTATTATTTAAATCATTGAATTTAGCGCACATATCCGTTCTTTTTTCTGGTTGACTGCTACCATCCATGCGCATATAATCTAGGTTCTTTTTGAAACCTAGTTTGAGACCTAGGAAATGCTCCAAAACGCTCATTTCGGCATGAGTTTGTGAAAATATCAACCTACAAAAAGGTGTTTTATGATCATCTAAACAAAAAAAAAATAATACTTACACTTTGTCACCTTCAATCTTAGTTTGCTCGAGAATATCCAAAATAATGAGCATTTTTGTGCCCAATCCTGGAGATTCGGTCAGATCATCAGGCATTTTATCCTTCCACCAGTCGTATTTCGTGACCACGTCATCTGGACCGTTTTCTACAACCACGTCTTCTTCTTTAACCTTTTTTTCTCGGATTTTAGCGGCCACACATAACGCATAAGGATGGGAACAAACGTACTGAAATAATTAAGCCAAGTTAAAAAGTAATAACAAAAAGAAAAAACATAGATAGGATAAAAAAACAGCAAACATTAGGCCAGAACAAAAAGAGAAAGAAGACAGAAATAAAAAAGTGCAAAAAAGGATAAAAAATTACCAAAAGATAAGAAAATATATAGAGAAATATAAATTGACAAAGCGAAAAAAGGAGAGAAAAGAAGATAGTAGAAATTTAAAACAAAATAAAAAGGAATAACGAAAATATATATACAGGGTGTCTCAGATTTTAATCGGGAAAATTTAATAGACGATAAAACTTGCAAAAATAAAACAAAAAGTTGATATCAACTTGTAAGATTTAAAGCTTCCTTTTCGAGATACAGGGTATTAAAGTTGCTTAAAAAAAAAATAAGATATTTGAAAAACTATTTAATCGATTTTGATATAACTTGACCTGTTTATTATACTTACTATGGGACTTAATTTGATGTAATTAGATTTAAGTTTAATGGCCAGGGGCGGCGGTAGAGCTTCACTGTTAAATTTTTTTAAAGGAAAAAATAGGCACGCCACTGCTTTTTTAGAAGTTTAATAATATTTTTGGATTTAGTAATTAAAAATATTATTTTTTTGTCTCCTGACTTTTTTGTCTATAACCTAACCATTATTATTAAATTTATTGTCCAGGGCGGAGTGAATAAATTATTTTTTTTTTCGCAAGAAGTAAGCAAGAAAAAAAAATCCAAAAATAATATTAAACTTCTAAAAAAGCAGTGGGGTGCCTATTTTTTCCTTCGAAAAAAATTAACAGTGATGCCCTACCGCCGCCCCTGACCATTAATCTTAAATCTAATTACATCAAATTAAGTCCCATAGTAAGTATAATAAACAGGTCAAGTTATATGAAAATCGATTAAAGAGTTTTTCAAATATCTTAATTTTTTTTTCTTTTTTAAGCAACTTTAACACCCTGTATCTCGAAAAGGAAGCTTTAAATCTTACAAGTTGATATGAACTTTTTGTTTTATTTTTGCTATCGTGTATTAAATTATTTTATTATTATTATTACATTAAGTTATATCGTCTATTAAATTTTCCCGATTAAAATCTGAGACACCCTGTACATATAAATATACAGAGAGAGTTAAATAAGTGCAAATATTTTAGGGCTGGTAGATCTCGATAAAAGAAACATATTTTTTTTATGATTTTTCAAATAACTCCAAAAAACCGAGTTATTTTACTTTGAAAATTTAACACAAAAATAATTTTTTGGTTAAATTTTGAGAACCACTGTATCTTTTCTGGGTTCTCTTTTTTGTAAATTTAATCTACTATCTATGTTGCCATATTATGTTTTTACTTAAAATTAACAAATTTTCGAAAATTTTGAAAAAAATCAAAATTTTCAAAAATTGTTTTTCGCAAAAAAAAACCTCAGAGAGTGTTCCTGGGTTCGAAATATACTACCCCTAAAAATATTTGCACTTATTTAAGACTCACTCTGTATATATACAGTAGCCCTAGCAAAACAAAGTATTGCCAGGTTTGATATAGAAACTCTCGCCAATACATACAAAGAAGCCAAAGCAAGATTAATGATATATAAAAGAACCACAGAGTTCCCAACTGGCAAGGGAGACTGGGAGAAAGGAAATATAGAAAATATAAGGAGTACGACAGGGAGACGCGATATCCCCAAAGTTGTTACAGCCACACTAGAAGAAATCTTCCGTCAACTGGGCTGGACTAACAAAGGATTAAAGATAGATGGAGAATATCTCAACCATCTAAGATTCGCTGATGACATAGTCCTAATGGCCAATAGCCCTGAAGAACTACGAGCACAAATTAACAAACTAAATACAACCAGCAATAAAGTGGGTCTCAAAATGAACTTAGCAAAAACTAAAGTAATGTACAACAAACTAGTGGACAGAAAAGACATTCTAATAAATAACACAACACTGGTAACAGTAGAAGAATATATATATATATATATATATATATATATATATATATATATATATATATATATATATATATATATATATATATATATATATATATATATATATATATATATATATATATATAAGGGGCAACTAATACACAGCTCGGGATCTCTACTATATACTAGAAATCAACAGAAGAAGTAAGTTAGCATGAAGTACTTATGGAAGAAACTCAACCATATTCAAATCTAGAATGCCACTTTATCTAAAGAAAAAAACATTCAACCAATGTGTAGTACTAGTCATGACCTAAGCATGCGAAACCTGGACATTTAAAAGGGACATCATAAGGAAACTGCAGGTCGCACAACGCTCAACGGAAGAAATATGATGGGAATAACCAAGAGAGACCGTCAAAGAATAGAGTGGATATGACAAAAGACTCAGGTAATAGATGTCATCCACAGAGTGAAATCCCTCAAGTGGAAATGGGCAGGACACCTGGCAAGAAGGACGGACAACAGATGGACCACAAAAATTACAGCATGGTACCCACGAGGAATTAAGAGACCTAGAAGAAGACCGAAGAGTTGAATTTTTTGGCAAGTTCTAAAAATCAAAACGCGTTTCCATGGTAATATAATTTCGTTTTTATCTATGGTTTTCATTCGTTGATAAATTGTTATTGATAGAATTTTAGTTAACGTCATATTTTTTGCTGTTTTAAAATGTTAAAGAAACACAAAAATTATTTAGTTCAATGCTTCGGAAAGGGTGATAATAGTTATCAGAAAATGTGATACTTTATCAACAGCAAAAGATGAAGATGACGTTAATCAAAATTAATAATAACATTAACATTAAAAAACAAAGGTAAAAAAAAATAAATATAGGATTTCTCAAACAACTTGCACAGTAAAAGTTTTTAGGATCTAATTCCCGTTTGAATTAAATTATTAGATTAATTACTGTACTCACATCCAAGATTGCTACATCCGCCAAAAAATTCTTTCTGTTAAGCTTCCCACTAGAGGTCCTCACTTGTTGCATGGCAATTGCTGTGTCCAAGTAGGTGTTGTAAAGACCTACTTGAGAAACGCTCAGGCCTACAATTAGTGCCTGATCCACCAGCTTGGGCAGGTACTGCTTCAATTCTGTGTCTTCTAACCTTTGTACTGTACTATCCAGGAGCTTATGCAACACGTGCGTCCGCTTCTTCATTAGGAGAATGTCGGAAGATGTAGAGTCTTCAAACTGACCGTTGGTGATAGGGTTCACAAAATTTGTTTTGTATTCTTGTTCTGTACCCAGCAAGTTGGGTTTGACGAAGTGTACCATACAATAATCTAAGGACATCAATGTATACCAAGAATCTCACAAAGACAAATTAAAAAAAAGAGGGTAGAACAAAAAGTAAAGAATAGGAAAGAGAAAAATAAGAGAAAGGAAAAATTGATAGATCAACAGCAGAAAAGGAAAAGCATAGAGATAGGAACAGAATAAAATAAGAGAAACCTGGCCACTAAAACATGAGAGTAGAAAGAGGGGTAAGAAAACAAAAAAGATATTAAAAGAAGGGAAAAGAGAATCATGGATATGAAAAAAAAATTAAAAAATTGACTAAAAAATAAAGAATGAAAGTAAAAAACTAGAATAGAAAAAGTCAAAAATATATAAAAAATAAGGAAGAAACAAAATGGAAAAGGAGATTAAAAAATAGTAAAATAAGAAAAATTGGAGAAAAAAAAGAATTGGAATACACAAATAATCTATAGTTTAACAGGATGCTAATAACATTATTTATAAACCAATATTAATATTTTATAATTTTATCAGTACTCACATTCCAATAAATTATTCTGCAAAGGAGTTCCAGTAAGCACAATCCTTCTTTTAGTCTTTATTTTATTCAAAGCATGAGTCCTCTGAGACTGCTTGTTTCGCAACAAATGTCCCTCATCACAAATAACCAAATCCGGCCCTGGGTCAACTAACGCCTCCAAAACACTCTTTCTTCCAGAAAACCCCTTACTCTCTAGGTTTTCCAACTTTACGTCAGAAGTTAAGTTCATGAAAGCTTCGTAGCCAAGGGCTAGAATACCTCCCTGCATTCTCCATTTCCCTACTACTGCAAATCTTTCGCTTGGTACCTTTTGACCCCTAAAAAAACATTTCTTATTAAATACATTTAAAAAAAAACATTTCTAACTTACTGTATAGAGAAGAAATTAACTGGTTTGCTTTTAATGGTACCTAAGGTCAGTTTGAACTCCTGTTTCCAATTATTCACGGTGGAGAGGGGACACACAATTAGGACGTGCTTTGATTTGGTCACTTTGTTAGCTAGAACTGTATGAATGAGCCCTAGGGCTTGACGGGTTTTTCCTAGTCCCATGCAGTGCGCTAGGATACAGCCGGATCCTTGCCAGCCTTTTTTCAGTTGTTTTATGCTTTCGTAGCACGAGTCCCACATGAATTGGATACCGTCTCTTTGATGTGGTTTCAGTTGTTTGGTGATACTGTGATGGACCTTGATTTGAGACTCTTCCTCTATGTCCTCGTCCAAAACTGGAAAATGTTAAAAAACGTATTTTCAAGTTTACTTATTTTAGTTATTTTTTTCTGCATTTTCACTTTTTTATACCTAAGTGTTCTATGTCATCAGTATCCATCAGGTCATTGCTGAACGTTTGCGATTGCGACATACTTGACCTCACCTTCTGTTTTTCTTGTAAACGTTTTATTCTAGCCTCTTCTTCCTCTTGAGCTAATTGAGTGGACTGAGACAAATCTCTATCGTCTACAAGAGCCCTAATATTCCTTCTTCCTTTACCTTAATAGAAAAAAAAAATATTTCTTTGATATAAATGTTATTATAAAAAAATATATAGGGTGATTCGCGGAGGTGGTAGGTTAGATGTTTATGGGGAAGCAGTCACAGGATCTTTCGAATATTTGGATTTTTGTATAAAGGCGTCTGCTCCATCTATCTAAATTATTTTCAACGTTACAATGTAGTGTTGCCGGTTCATTTGAAAAGAAGTAGCATTTTGTTACTTTAAAAAAAACACCCTGAGACAAATCTCTATCGTCTACAAGAGCCCTAATATTCCTTCTTCCTTTACCTTAATAGAAAAAAAATATTTCTTTGATATAAATGTTATTATAAAAAAATATATAGGGTCATTCGCGGAGGTGGTAGGTTAGATGTTTATGGAGAACCAGTCACAGGATCTTTCGAATATTTGGATTTTTGTATAAAGGCGCCTGCTCCATCTATCTAAATTATTTCCAACGTTACAATGTAGTGTTGCCGGTTCATTTGAAAAGAAGTAGCATTTTGTTACTTTAAAAGAAACACCCGGAACCCGATTCTGTTAACATATTTCCTGTCTAGTGACTCATCAATCCTATACAAATAGCATAGGCTAGACAGGAAATTTCTTGCTACGGTGCTTACAGAATCCCACTGCCGGTATATTATTACATTTTTGGAAACTATTTTTATATTTTCATAATTTCTTTATTTTCTATATCTATCTCCAATAGTTTCTAAGATAAAAAATAAAACAAATGTAAAATTGACAGAAACATGATCCTAAACAGGGGCGGAAACTGAACGAGATCCCATCATTTCAGGCGCCTGTAGCGTCACTCTGCGGAACGACCGATGACCGATTACCATTTTAAACAATTGTTTTTAGAGGTTCAAATAGATGGCGTCATCGACAAAATACTTGGGGGATTTTTTCATCATCCTCGTTTCGGAAAGTAGTAGTAACAATTTATGAAATGTCTCTAGTAACAATTTATGAAAAAGAAAATGGAAAGGACTAATATCCATTTAAGAATCATTCTTAATTTAGTTATGATATATTTAATTTTTAGGCATGTAATACCAAGGGACGATACAGTTAGAAAGATATGGTTAGATCAAATAAAAATGAGCCCAAATTATTTAATTAAAAAAAGATTCGCATTGCTATAGAGTGTGTGAATCACACTTTTTCGTTTTTTCGTCGAAGCGGCGCGGAACACTGCGGCGGATGGTAAGTCTAGCGGGACAAAACATCAGTACCGATGTTTAAGATTTAAATAAAATCTAAGCACGTAGCAAATGATCTAATATAAAGTAACCATAGAGTTAAATTCATTTATTTATTAACAACTTAATTTATTTAGAGTAAAATAAATAGAGAGCGCTAGCCGATCTATTGTTATGGCTCCTCGACATAGCACAATATAAATGCCATTGCGGGACATTTTGCCATATCTAAAATTTTATCGTCAAATTAGGGAATATTGATCTTTAAAATATTTAGAATAAACCCTGGTTTATTAATATTTGGGGATATCAATTACTAAATATATAAAGGGTCACTATGAGTTCTTAGTAGAAGCAAAAGTAAATAGTTTTATCGAAGAAAATTAAAAAAAAAGATAAATTCCGGGAAGCGAAAATAATTTTAATAAACGTGACAACACTGGAATTGTTACCCACGTGTAGATGCCGACGATAGTAAAACGGAAATTTTCTTTGCTATTATTTCCCTTTTATTTTTGTGTGGTGTTTTCTAACGGAAACATAACAAATGTTTAAGTTTAATCAATGAAGTTTTTGATAAACTATTAAGGCATTTTATTATCATGGTCTTTTTGTGTAAAATAAACAAGAAAAACAATGATAAAAATTGCGATGTGTATATCGACCGTACGTAGTAAATCACAGAAAAGCAACAGAATACGTGTGACGCGACAAACAGTGGCGTCTAAAATTTTTAAGTGATTTACATGTTTAGTTAAATAATATTAATGTAATCCTGTAGAATTTTAATAAATCTATAATTGGTAGGTACTACACATATAATTTTTAGATGGCATATTAAAAACGTATTTAAATAATTCTATATTTCAGATTTATTACAGTTGGGGGTTGGAACCTTTGGTGTTACACAGCAAAATAAAACACTAAATAAAACACTAAATCACCACAATACACCAAAACACTTTTACTTTTACAATGGACGCGCGTTTCGCTAACCATGTTAGCATCATCAGCAGATGATTAAAAATGTGTTAATTCCAGCCATTTCAATCAGTCATTTCAATCAATATTTTGATCTTTTTCAATTTTACGTGGAAAAATTAAAAAATAGAAATTTATTAAAATTTACAATTTAACAGGAATACAATATATAAATTTGTATTTTAACAAATCATTAAAATATAAATATACATTTATTATTTTCCAAATTTACAATATAAAATTAAAAAAAAAGGAATATACAGAATAAACCCTATACTTTTACACTACATTTAGATATATTATGTAAATATATTATTATTATTATAAATCCTTCCCACGCACAAGCTCTTCAGCTTATGTGGGATATTTTTGAAAATAATGTTTATAGTTTATTATAATTGTACATATTTATAAATAAATAAATATTACAGTATTATGTAAATATATTACCCAATTAACCGAGTTAAATTATTATAATCTATGAAGAGTTTGTACGAGAATGCCATAAAGGTATGCCATCTATCAAAGAATGAAATCGAAATTATATTACCATAGAAACGCATTTTTATTTTTAGGACTTATTTTAATTTTTTTCCAATTTTCTCTAAAATGGTATGAATATTTGGAAAATTATAAACGGGATTAATCATTTTAGAACAAGCAAAATTTTTTATGAAGAATGCATTTTTCTCAAAATGCCAAGAATAAAATAGTTGTTCCCCTTGTAAAGACAATCCAGGGACATACTGTAGTTTAATATAAATGGTCCAAGAGAATTAGAAATTTAATTAATAAAAATTATTAATAATTTAATATAGTTAAAATATTAATAAAATATTTTAACGTAGGTACTGGTATTTACCATTAAATAGTACATATACTGGGTGTCCCAATATTCCGTGGACATAGAACTACGTATTTTTGGAATCAAAATAAGTTTACTGGACACAAATTACCTCTATACAAAAGTGCTTCGTTTGAAAGCTAGAGGGCAGCAAATTTTAAAAAAATAAACACATTTTTTAAGATATTTTAAGAACCGTTATTCCGATTTGAATGAGATTTTGTGTGACTATAGCTTCATTCAGAACCTCGCAATTAGTGAAATAAATTAGTGGTTTCAATTAGCGTAGAAGTTTGTTCCTTTAATTTCAATGTAAGCATTCAGAACGTTAAAATTAGTGGTAGACATTTTTAGTTAGTAGAAAAAGTTGTCAAACTTTTAACTTTTCCACTAATTATACTTCAAAATTTACGATAAATGTCATTTTGGCCTTTGATTATCTTCCGTCAAGAGAAATTGTGGTTAGAAATCAAAAATTGATTGTTTTATAAGCTAAATATTAGGCTTTCTATATGGATACAAGTGACTAACGCAAGCTGTTGCTACGATATTCTATTAATTTTAATAATTAATTGTGTTTTTTTAAACATTGTGAATGATCGTAAACTAAAAAGTATAATTAAAACCACTAATTTATTCCACTAATTGGGAGGTTCTGAATGAAGCTTATGTTTTGCTAAGTGCTTTAACATTTGACTTTCACCAAAATTAAGAAAAAGTACGGGAAGTGTGAAAAAAACCAAACCACACCCCTACATAAATGTTAGTGTAAATATTTTCCAACTCCACCGACGACAGATTTTCTTTTCCTAAAATGATTTCTCTAGTATTTACTAAATTTTTTGTCTCTTTTGTAAAAAAACGCCACATCGCATAGTACTGTATTTACTATGTACAGGGTGGGTCAAATTCGACGCTTTTAAATGGAAACACCCTTTTCTATAGGAGATAGACGAAAACTAATAGCGGTGTCTGGAGCTCAATTTTTGTCAAAAACATGATAGTAAAAACCGCATATCGATATCTGTTACCGTTTCGGAGTTACGGGGTGTTTTTCAAAAATATGCACTTTTAACAAATCGCTTAACTTTTTTGTTATGGAAAATTTTGTATTTTTATGAAAACATTTCCAAAGCACCTTTTTACTTAGAATTTAATGGTTTAAGTATAATTTGTTTAAAATTAATAATTTAAGAATTATCAACAGAAAATTTGATTTTTTATATGGGACACCCTGTATATTTTTAATTTATTGAAAATAACTTAAAATTATCTTTCCAAAAATATAACACACTTGATATTTTGGTCGATTCCTCTTCGAGATATAGAGTATATAAAAATTCGCCCGCTTTAAATGAGTAGGCTTTGAACGGCTGTAATGCAAAAAAATCTAGCTATGAGCATCAATTAAAACGAAAATAATATTTGCTATGGGAGATGCAGAATTTTATAACTATTTAAAATATATTTTATCAACGTCAACACATTTAAACTATATCTAATAACAAGAAAAATAAATAGCAAACCAAGACATGAGATTTTGCTATAGGTGTTCGACATATCAACCGTCTTCTGTTATGGATAGACGAGACGGGGCAGTTTTTGAACATTTCTCGCGGAATTCATTAAGTCAGTGGGAGTGAAAGACACCCTCTCATAATTGCTAAGTATTTCTAATTCTTGTCTAGATTATACGGAAGAATAAGAAACCTTTATTTTTCCGCAAATCGATAGGATTAGATCCATGGCCACTAAGTCAGGCGGCCTCGACGGCCAACGGCTGGAATCTTGGTTGGCTATTCAATTATTCTGGAAATTGGATGCAAAAATTTACTGATAACTTCAGCGATCAGAGCCGGTGCGTCGTCTTGCTGGAAAAATATATTTTCGAGTTCCATTAAGGGCATATCATCAATAAAGGGTCCAAAGCCTACTAGTTAAAAGTGGCGAACTTTTAAAAATTCTGTATTTCGAAGGGGATTATAACAAAATATCAAGTGTGCTATATTTTTAGAAAGGTAATTTTAAATTCTTTTCAGTTAATTAAAAATATAGAGGGTGTCCCAAATAAAAAATCAATTTTTCTGTTGACAACTCTTAAATTATTAATTTTAAAAAAATTATACTTAAACCATTAAATTCTAGGTAAAAAGGTGCTTTGGAAATGTTTTTATAGAAATACAAAATTTTCGATAGCAAAAAAGTTACAGCGATTTGTTAAAAATGCACATTTTTAAAAAACACCCCGTAACTCCGAAACGGTAACAGATATTGATGTGCGGTTTTCACTATTATGTTTTTGATGAAAATTGAGCTCCAGACACCGACATTAGTTTTCGTCTACCTCCTATAGAAAAGGGTGTTTCTATTTAAAAGCGCCGAATTTGACCCACCCTGTACATAGTAACATAGTAGACTCTCATTTATTGTTAAATAATACATATTAAAAAATTAATAAAAAACAAAATTTAAAAAACCGAATTATCCGAGCCGCCAATTATCCCAGCTAGGGTAGAATGTAGAATGAGTGAGAGGGGGGTTAATCACTGCGACCTTAAAGATCTATTGTGCCACCTTCCGTAAGTCATTACACAGTCTATAACCCATCATACCTCTGTTGTAGAGGAGGCAGGATATTTCCCATCATCCTTTGACAACAGTTGTGCTTCCTCCGAGGGTACACACCCTTCCACGGTTGGAGCTTGGCTTTCACAGTGCCCTTCACAGTCGAGGAGCTTGCCTCCGGCTGAGGTACACGTGAGGTGGAGGCTGGAGGATCTGTCTCCATTCTCTCCACCTCTTTAACTTGGTCTCTCCTTAGACCTGATACCGGCGTGGTCCCGTATCTATAATAGAGGATATCCCTCTTTCTCTATTGCCTCCATGGATTTGAGGTCTATTCCTATTGCGAGGACCGGACCATGACCCTCCTCCCTCGAGTTGATGACTCGCCAACTCGATGTCCTTACATTGAAGTTCTGACCCTGGATAAGGCTCAGCAGGTAGGTGGTATCTTTCCCCTTGCTCCTCGGCAAAAGACCGTGATGGCCGCCCCTTTAGGGATGTTTTCTCCCTTCACTGCAACCAGTTCCGCCCCCTGCCAATTTTTAAGCTTAGGTGCGATTTCCACCAACCAATTCGCCGATTCTTGAGATACATAATCTATGAGGATCATGCCCACCCGAAAGTGTATCCCCGCAAAACGCAACTGACCCACATTTTGTAGATCGTTGTGTCGCGATCCGATCGCCACTACTTCGTCCAGTATAGCCTACTACTACTACTACTTCTAGAGATCTATCTCAGCTAGGATACAGCCCACATTAGCTCGGTTAATCGAGAGTCTATTGTATCTATGTGTTTCTAAAAGCATAAATTAAAACTTTAAAATATGAAAGAGTTCTCTTTTCTTATGAAAATAATTTAGATCGATAAAGCAGGTGCCTGTATATAAAAAAAACAAGTTTCCAAAAAAAATCCTATCACCGGTTCTCCATAAACATAACATGAACTAAACTACCATCGCCTGTAAATCACCCTGTATAAAAACATACCAGCTTTTTCGGGACTGTCTTTAATCTCAATAATTTCTTCATCTTCGTTTGATGATGACGAGGATGACGTTTCTTGCTCTTCGTTTTTAGCATCGTTAGAATCATTATCTTCATTTTTTTCCTGGTCACTGAAACAGTTCAAATTCATGAGGAGGATAAAGAAAAAATGCCAGCGAGAAGATTTAGACTATTTAAAAATATATAAAAATTACTAGAAAAGTATAGACAAAAAAGCAAATCTTTTTTTTTGCAACCAAACCAAACCAAATCAAAAAATGAGAGCAGTAATAGGCTTAAGGCGAAAAAGATAATGAAGAAAAACAAAATATAGCCACGGAAAAAATAAAAACCATTGGCGGAAAAAAAATTAAAAAAGAGAAAAAAACACGGTATTATAAGAAAAAAGAAAGAAATAAAAAAAGAGAAAAGCATTCTAAGCATTTGGAGAATTTAATCCCCCCCATTTCTGAGCATTTTAGTGCGAGTATTTATTTACCTATCACTATGAGAAGAAACATGTTCTGTAGGCTTAAAATCGGCATCAGAGCCACTGCTTTCAGATAATCTGCAGTTAAAAGTAAAGAATATTTATTAATCATTTAAATATTTATATCTCCAAAAAAGTCTTCTGGATATTTCGCCATTTGCACTGTAAGAAAATCTACAAACTATAATAGTTTATTTTTTGTAAACACCGCTGAGTAAATTCAATAGAAACCAATTTGCCAGCGGTATTTTACTCATAAAACAAATATTAACGGACAAAAAATGCTTAACGTTTAACGTTCCTCCTCCAGTCGTCGAAAGCAAAAAAACACAAAGAAAAAAAGCTATTTAAAATATCTAACTACAACTATTCAAGAACACTTGAATAGTTTTTTTTTTCTGATTTTTGCGTTTTTTTAGCTTCCGACGACGGAAGGTATACGATATACCTCCTGAAACGTTAAGAATTTTTTAGTTTGTTATGCAAATTTGTTTTATTAGGAGGCACAGGTATAGTAATCTTCTCAGACGAACTAGACATTCGACGATCACTAAGGCTATCGGATGGCTGCAATGTTCTACAAGCAGAGGTTTATGCTATAAAGGAAGCGGCCGGTTGTATACGAGAGAAAATCGCTGACAGACAAATAGGAGATATCGTGATATACTCTAACGGCTTGGGCGCTCTAAGAAGCATCACTATGGCACTATGCAATCACTGAGATCGAAATCTGTGATGGACTGCTGATATGGTGGCTGCGTCAAGGCGGGGTCACCCTGTCCTGGGTGCCAAGCCACAACAATGTGGTGGGCAACCAGGAATCGAACAGATATTCCACTACCTGTGACGATAAACACTCCAAAGGAAGCTACAGAAATTATCATCAAGGCCAACCGGCAAGAGACGTAGCAACACCGTTCAGTTAGGTTGTAATTTTTGTTCGTCACTGGGTGCAAACCTCGTTAGATGGAAGATTTCCAACGACGACTATTTCAGAGAATACGGAAAGGAAGAAGAAATCATGGGGCACCTACTGTGCCACTGTGCGGCACTGGAAAACCGACGCTAAAAAACTTTAGGGCGCGGTTTTTGGGAGAGACTAGAGAAAGCAGCAGAAGCCAACATCAACGACATCGGGACATCGGGAACTTTGAAAAGAGCTAGAAGTGCTTTAACGCAAAAACAGAACGAGAGAAAGGTTTAATATTCAATAATATAAGGGTATCGCAATGGGCCCAAAGACCCTGAGTAAGAGCTCAAAGCATTGACGGCCAGGTCGCCACGACCAGTCAACGGCCAGGATGCTAGTGCGCGTTGTATCATTTGATTTAATGTTATTACGTGTAGCAGCGACCAAGCTGCGGCCGCTTGGGCGTGGATGGTAGTGCGTTCGAACTCTAAGGGATGAAACAGAATCCCAAATCCGAGCAACCTAACCTAAAATATCGCTGACAAATTGGTCTCCAATTGATCTCCACAGCGGTGTTTACAAAAAATAACTACAGTAGACTCTCAATTTTCCGACTCTCTATTTTCCGATCTCTAGATTATCCGTGCGTATCCGAGTTGAAATCCGTATTAACCGAGCGACGCCGTATTATTCGAGCTTACGGAAAACCCCAGAATTGCCAAACAAACATGACTTTAGTTGTTCTTTTATTGGTCAAAATTTTTAATAAAATATTTTAACGTGGCATTTATTATTAAATAATACATATTTTAAAATATATAAAAAACCATTAAAAAACCAGATTATCCGAACTATGGTACAGCCCACATTAGCTCGGATAACCGAGAGTCTACTATATTATATTTTGTAGATTTTTTTACAGCGCAAGTGGCGAAATACCCAGAAGACTTTTTTGGACCAATGAAAAAATATTTATAGTATAGCATATATTACTTTAGTCTGATTTTTTTCCGCTGCCTTTTCACACTCCCAACACTCCCATCACTATCACTATCTGTAGTCACTTGACCCCTCAATAGAGGATCTCGTCTCCATATACTCTGCTGTTTAGATTTTTCTTTGTCTTCATCCTCTCCGTCACTACTACTGCGGTCCTTGATAGATCTCTATAAATAAATTCGATGCATTTTTGATAATTTTTTAATCTTCAACACCTTGTAGAACCTTACCTGTGACCTAGTACTCCTCTTAGGCAACCTCTTAGGCTTGGCTTCAATGTCGCTGTCGCTGAGTTCATCTCCAGTCCCCAGTTTATTATCACTTAGCGCTTCATCTGAACTATTATTGATGTCATCCCAAAGTGAAGTGGCTAACGCCGCCTGGTCGTCTTTGGAGTCCCTTTGTGGCGACAGAGTAAGGCTCTTTCTTGACAGGCCATCTTCTACATCAGTGTCTGATGATGAGGAAGAACCCTGGCTTAACAATGATTCGGTGCGGTCACTGGACGAATCAGAGTTTCGTTCATTGGAGGATATTGATGAGGAAGAACCTAAACATGGGTCATATTTTAGTAGAAATCTAAATAATTATATTTTGGTTAATTTCTTGATAATATCATATAATGACGAATTATTTAATTAAATTTAATTCCAAATAAAGTAATTTTGCGGTATAACAAAGATTTTCGTATGTTTTTTATGTACAAAGATGACGGAGAAAAATGCATTCTTCATAAAAAATTTTGGCTTAAATGGTTAATTCCATTTATACTTATACAAATTTCCATACCGTTTTTTCCGATTTAGAGAAAATTAAAAAAAAGTTGTCGAAATTTAATATTAAGGAAAAAAGTATAAAAGCGATTAACTATTTTAAAACGAGGAAAAATTATTATGAAGAATACATTTTCCTCAAAATGTCAATAAAGTTATTCCTCTTATAAAGACATTTCATGGATATACTGTAGATGAAAGAAATAACAGTACTTACTAGATTCTGTTCTCATCCTTTTTAACATGAAACGGTTATTCCCTTCAATTATTTTTCGTTTTGTTCGTAGAACAGTACTCAAATCGCACAAGCTCTCCACCGTATCTAACTTTCCTGAAGAATGCCTCTCCGATAATCTTCTGACATCCCATAGCAAGTCCCTATCAAACTCTTCAAAGTCAATCTCTTCAATATGCACTTCTAGCTCTTTATTAATACCAAACTTCTTCCTAAGAGCTTGATCTTTTTCATTTTTATGGCCAGAAATCCATTGCGAGTTGAAATCATCAAAGCTCTCATCCTCAGAGTCCAAGGTAATGTCACTATCATCTAGCAGGCTCTGATAGGCTTCGCGCGCTTTTTTTGAACCAACTCGTTTTGATTTGGACTCATTGTCAATTACTTCTTCTTCCCTGAGCAGTTCGTATAGCTCCGTTTCACTGTCACTTTCTTGATCATCATCAACATTTGATAGTATTTCTGCCAAATCTTCACTGGGCCTATCTTTTTCATCAACAGAAGATAACATATCATCTTTTATATGCAAGTTTGAATTCTCTTCAATTTCTTCCTCTTTACTTGATGATTCCACCATCTTGTAAACCTGAGACTGTTCTGATTTTTCATAATTGCTACTCAACATGTCTAATAATTCCGTTCTGCTTTGTTCATTGAGATTGAATCCATGTTTTTCTTCTTTCTGGTCATTTAGGTCTCCTTTTTTTGTTTCATCAATAGTCAACATGTTCAATAATTCATCTCTACCTTCGCTATTCAAACAAAACTCGTCACTTACATATTCTTTCTCCTCATCATTTGTTAACATTCCCAACAATTCATCTCTTCCTTTTTCATCTAATTTTAATTCAGGAGATTTCTCTTTATCTTCAATTTTTGGTTCTTCTTTCTTGTTATCATTTGTTAACATTTCCAACAATTCATCTCGCCCTTTTTCATCTAATTTTAATTCACCAGATTTCTCTTTATCTTCAATCTTGGCTTCTTGATTCTTGTTATCATTTGTTAACATTCCCAATAATTCATCTCTACCATTTTCATCTAAAAATTCATCAACTTTACTTGAATGTGTCTCCTCATCTCCCACTGAATGTGCTTTTGGTTCACTTGTATCTTCAGTACTTTCTTCCTCACTTGATGTAGACTTGTTAATGAGTTCATCTTCTCTTATTAATACTTCAGATAACTGCTCTTCACTTTCTTTGCTGTCTTTTTCACTGGCTGATTCTATTTCATCTGTTGAGACATCAAAATCTACCGAATCCTTTTCACTACATAGTGTTGATTTATCATCATCATCATCATCAACTATAGATGTTTTATTCTCCTTAGATGTAGATTTAATATCATTAATATTACTGGCAGTCATAGTTTCTAATTCCTCAGTATTAGATAAAAGTATTTCTAGAGAATCTGTCTCACTTAATGGTGTAGAATGATCATCAGATTCTCCATGCAAGGAACTAATGGTACAAATATTCTTCTTTTTAAATGTGGGCATATCTTCACTTTCAGATTGATTTTGATGGTGATCTGTTAAAGATTCTACAATTGTGGCCTTGTTTATATTCACGTCAGTATCTGTAACTTGAACTTTTGACTGATCTACATTATTGGATTGGTTTTCAATGACACTTGAAGGCGATGTTGGGTTATCTGAAGAAGTATTCTCTTCAGTGGAGCTAAGTAGTTCAGGTACTCTTTTATGTTGAACAGAAAGCATAATATCGCTACCTTCACTCTCAGAGATATTTTTATCTATTTCTAGCTGGGCTTTATTATTTAAACAAGTTTGTTCTCCATTGAATTCCTCAGTCTGTGGACTGACAATCTCCTCAAAGTCAAACTCTTGGGTAGACTTATCTTCTTCATTTGATGATCTGGAAAGTTTCTGTGTTCTTTTTTTGTTATATGAAGATTCAACTGCACTATAACTATGTTCATGGTCCTCTGATAAAAATGGAGGTATTATTTTATTACACAAATCAATAAAAAAAATTGTATATACTTACTAGATTCAAGTTCTTTAAGATTAGCCGATTCATCATGAGACTTAATTCGCTTATCATTGTGTACATTTTTATTTGTTATATCAACATTCTCATTCTCAGTTATATGAAGTTCATTATTTTTGCCAACTTCCAATTCGCCATCTGAAACTTTAAAGAAATCTTCAGATTCTTGGCTCTCCAATACACTACTGTCTCTTTTAGAGTAATAATTTTCTATGAGCTTGAACAGAGATGACGCATTATGCTGAGGATTATCATCTACACCTTAAAATAAATGTATAACATTATTTACATAACTTATTAAAATAAATGCTTACTTTTACTAGATTCATCATGAGATTTATTTGTAATTTCAAACGGTATTGATTTTTCAAGTTCATTAGTAGGAGTTGAATTAAGAACAGTTGTGTTACTCTCTATACTAGAATTTGGTGATAAATTAGCAGTAGTTTCTTTATCAAAATCAGAGTCTTCACAATGGACAACAGTTTCTTGGTCAGAGTCAATAGCTTCAATATTATTACCATCTAAAGCATTGCCATTTTCAAGTAGCAATTTTCCAGTTCCACCATGATCATTGGCTTTACTATTTTTAAGTATATTTATTACAGCAACCAAAACATCTTCCTGTTTAAACTCCTTAACAGTTTCTTCTAGTTCCAAAGAGAATTTCTCAAAACACTTAGTGTATTCACTCAGAATTTCTGCCAATTTCTTAGAATAGACGATGATATCTGGAGTTGATTTATAGTTATTTACACATTGGCTAATATCATTAACAACTTTCTTCCCAGTATTGCTAATGTTTTGTCCCAAAGACAGTAAAATATTTTCAAATTCATCTTGGGCCATAGTAAAATTTGTTTTTTAAATTCAAAACCCAAAAAATTTTCTCATCTACATATTCAGCACATACATACGTTTTTACTGCAGATTAAAATACTGGGATTAGAACAATAGTTCGCTAGACGATTTAACAAATATTTAATAAATATATATATATATATATATATTTGTTATTTTAAAGAATCTTATGAACTTTTCTCTCAAAATATAAATAAGCGTCTTTGCCAGCTATGTTTACCAATCTTTGGTCAGCTTTGGTTAAAAGAAAGGTTAAGGGTTTTAATCAAAGATTTTATCCCTGTTTTTTATGACACTGTGACACCATATTGTGACACCCATTGGTGACACACGGGACACTTGACATCACACTTGACACCGACTGTTGATATCCTGTGGTTGATATGACTGTGATGCAGTGTTCCCAACTCTCACAAATTTTTCTCAGTAAAAATCCAAAATGCTCGCATCAAAAATCCCTAAAAACCTAAAAAAATATCCCGAAAAAACCCTAAAAATATAAATAATAATCAAAATAATCATTTGAATCATATATATTAATGTTGTGTTTTAAGTGGTTGACCTTGAAACGCCTGATCACAGCAATGTAGCCAACTGTTCAAAACTTTCCATTAAAGCAATATAAAACCTTCTTAAATACAAACAACTAAAATCCCCATAACTGTTATCCAAGATTCGGTGATTAAAATAAATAAATTAATTTGTTTTATTTATACTTTCCTATTAATTTTGAAAAATAGTAATAGCGGTCTTATCTCCTTTTTGGTAGCGGTAAAATTCCATTGAAATGTTATCCCTAAAAATATCCCCAAAAAATTTTACTCCCTAAAAAAATCCCCATATAGATTTTTTCTCCCTAAATTTAGGGATAAAATGGTAATGGTGTGGATCCGGTGGCTGACCTTGAGTCACAGACACTACGCATGCGCACATCTTCGATGTTGCCAGATTGCAAGTTATTTTGGAATTATTTTCAGTAGAAAACAAATATGTGCTTTTCAGTGTTTTTTGTCAATATATACAGTATCATCGAAAAAACGGCGTCCAGTTGGCTGGGAAATGACGATTGAGGACATTTCCCATATAAAATGGCAGCGATCTTCATCATAGTACGCGCGGTATATCATTTATATTATTATTTTAATATTTCGCACAACACGTGAAACATGAACGCTTATATGTATTTTCATAGTCAATAAAATTAAATAGAAATAAAATTCTAGATTCCTATAATTAATCTAATTGCTCTAGATTATTATGCTACGTTTAAAAAGTGCTTTATTAAAAATTCAGGGTATGTGTCCAAGTTTTTTCTTTTTTTTAAATTTTTAAATGCTGTAGCTCCATGTCATGTTCATAATAGGTTTTTTTAACATTCCATCAAAACTACGGAGGCCTTAAAAGACCTTTTAGTCCCAGTAATTAAAATTGTAGAATCAGCTTCAGCAACATTTACAGTTACCTTGTTTAATTCTGCTTATATATTGCATTAATTTTTCTGCTACCTTAACTTACCTTAAATTAAGAAAAGAATATCAAAGTATACGATATTAAATACTGTAATGTATTCTACGACACAAACCGTCTCCCTTCTAAAGAGAAAAAGACAAAACATAAAGCTTATTTTAGTCTTATCAACACACTCTTCGATAAAATATATGTCTAAAATTGCTATTAATCCACTAACTTCATATTTTTAAGAAATTATGATACAAACATTATAATCAAAGTATATTATATTAGTAACATTATAAGTAAGATGTTACCTCTATCTCCCATTGATGTGTATTGTTCTATAAGACTCGTCATGGTACTATTTCAAAACATCAATACATATAATCAAAACTATTGTTGCCTGTAAATAACTAGAAATTAAATAACTTGAAATAAATAAAACAATTCTAATAAGTTTAAAACCATTAAGAAAAAATCCGTACATGATAATTTTTAATTCTAATGTAAATATATAAATAAATGTTATTTATTATTACAATTTTATATATTCATAATACTTTCATTTCACAATCTTCATTATCCTTCTTACCTTAATTTTGGATATCAAGATAAATCTGAAATTATAAAATTAATTATAGAATTTCTATTATTATTGATTAACACCTTATTAACACTCCAAAAAAAATTTCAACTGCAAATAATTCGAAAATAAACTGCAATTTGGCAACATCGACGATGTGCGCTTGCGTAGTATCGATGATCAAATGCAGCAAATATAGGCTTCAAGGTCAGCCACCGGATCCACACCTTTACCCTCTAAGGTTGTAATTTATTTTTACATTAAGTAAATATGATTTTTAAATGGTGTAGTTTAAGATTGACCTCGCTAAATTATCAATCGTCAAACCTCAGCCACCGCCGTTTTTTTTAGATTATTTGCTATAACTATGTTATCTGTTATGCAAATACATATGTCAACAAGTAAAAAGCCAATGAGAAATTAGTTTCTGCTTGGATCCTTACAGTGGCATTTAACAAAATATATATTTTTCCAGGTTACAATATTTTATTTAATATGAACCTGTAAATGTAAGAATATTATACATATACTATATTTTTTACTCAGACCCTAAATATATTATTAAAATACAACACTTGTGTTTTTTATTAATATCGTGTTATGATTAATACCTAATTAATGTAAAATTATATGGTATGTAAATATCCTTACACTGAGAATTCGTTTGGTCAAAATATTACTCTCTTACTAATATGAATTTGAAAACTACAGAACATTGTTTTTTTTTTAGTTTTTGTGCTAATATTTCCACTTAAAATTACCGAATATATTTATGGTATATGTAGGAAAAGATGAATTTTGTGCTTTTTAATTATACATTATATTAATTATATTATTATTGTAAATAATATCTACTGATATTTAATATAAAAAATAGTTATTCACATGCATCTATTTTTCTTTTGTAATTAATACTATCTAAATAACAAGACATCTTAATACGTATAATATCTTTTAATTATATCTAACTTTTAATTATTGAATATTTAATAAACAAATTTTTTATATTGTTTGTTAAATATTTTATAGCATATACTATTATGTATTTATAATAATTTATTAGTTTTATTGCATGAACATATTTTTAAAATTTATTATTAAAAAATATTTTATCTTTGCCTCTAACCACCTACTTCTATATCTCTGGCTTTTACTTTACTATCATCAATGAATCTCAAGGTTAAATTCTGTTTTGATGCTCTTCCGCTGTAAACTCCCCTACCACTTTCCTCTTTACCCCGCTGTCCATAAACTATGGTAGCGAGGGCACTCACCGATAAAACGATGTAGGCACCAGGGGGGTGACAGTAAACCGGAAAATTGGAAACAGTTGTGGCGCGGTTCTACCCAGGCCATAGACAAACTAACAAAAGCAAGACGCGTCAACGCTGTACTGCAAAACGGCAACAAGTTTGATAAGAGTTTATTACCGCGCTTGCGTCAACTGGCCTTTTAGACGAGGACGGTTTACTTATGGATTGTGTATTTTGTAGTAGTCTTTTAGACGAGGATGTTTTACTTATGGATTGGGTATTTTGTAAAAAGGATGTTTAATTAATAAGCGTTTATTAAAATCAAATACATTTATTTCCATTTCTATCGGTAAAATAAACAATAATTTCTGGACGTAACAGATATAAAAACAAAAAAGTCAAATAAACGAAAACGTATTCCTCTTTAATAAGAGGAATACGTTTTCGTTTATTTGACTTTTTTTCGTTTATTTTAATAAATAACAAAAAAGATGATAAAAAAACAACAGTTATATGGCAAACGAAATAAAAGCATTATTCTTCAAAAGGTACAAAAAAATAATTATGTATATTATAATATTAATAATAGGAACAACAAGAAACATCTTAAAAATATACAACTTTTTCAAATATAAAACAAAAACATAAACTTCACATTTCCACAAGAATTTAAAAAATATTAACATTTGGTTTGGTTTGAGGGGAAGGTGTTTGAATATGGACTTTATAATGTTCCGTCTTACGTGCCTGTAGCCATAAAATAATAAATACAAGAAGAAGTGTCAAGTCAATGTTAAATTATGGAAACAGCGTGGCTGCCTGGGTAACTAATTTTTAGATATGGCGGCTGGGACATTTGACATGACATAGACACTTCATTGACATGACAATTTCAATTTTATGAAATTTATTTCCGTTTCCGGTTTTTAATGGCGGGCTGTTCAGGAGGTTTAAATGAGGGTTAATATACTTTTTACTCTTTCTAGTAGTAAATAATACAACAAAATTACTCAAAAATATTTATTTGGAATTTAGAACAATGTAAATATGCAAATCAACACAATTAAAGAGCTATAAACCAATAAACTACTGTATCAATATTAAATATTTAAATAATATCAGAGATGCTGTGTTAAAGCGAATTAGTAAAGTAACAGTGCATTGACTTACAGAAACTTGAAGATAAATAAATGTTTTCACAGCTTCACGGATAAATAACTGGAAGCAGGAAAAAGGCAACCGGAACCCACACAAAACCTGGAATCAAAAAAAATATGTAAAAAATATAAATATAGGTACCTACATAAGACTTTTGTGAATTAAATCAAACAGGACTTGAATGAAAATAAAATGAATAAAAAATATGATACATATACATCTAATACCTCATTTGTATTTTAAAAATAATCTACATACATAGATTTATAGCATTATTGCTATGAAAATACATAATAGGTACCTATGTGATATGTAATTACGCATTTCTGTTCATCTTGTAGAAATTTAACGTAGGCTAATAATAGTTCAATAATCATAATTTACCTTGTATAACTTGCTTTCAATTGCTCAAAATCACCGATCAGTCTTTAAAGTAGAGATACGGAAAAATCCTTGAAAGAATATCCCAAGATCCTTGGGTTTAAAGCTAAAAAAATATAAAAACAGTTAATATATTACCTATTTTTACCTATAATATGGCCCATACCTGCTACACGCCGAAACGTCGATTTCATCATTTTCTTCATGTAATTAATATCATATATACTTTATTAAAGTGTTAACAAGGAACTTTATATCAAAAAACATCTTTGTACTTATAAATTTCAGCCGAAATATCAGAAACAAACTTCCAATCAAATCTAAACGGCAAAAATTAAAATGGCGCCCGACCTTGCCAGAGGCCTCGGGAGTTGACACATGGCTGACACACAGACAAAAGAAGAGGACGCCGACGTGCATAAAAATGTTCCGTAACTGAAATTGACAGAAATCATATAGAAATATTCAGATTTTTGTCTAGGACAGTCTAGAAGGCCATGCTTTCTGCCTGGGTAAGACCGCGCCAGAACTGTTTCCAATTTTCCGGTTTACTGTCACCCCCCTGCCTGTAGCCACGACCTGTTAGACAGATGTCATTCAGACATGTTGTTGTCCTTGTCTATTATCGAATAGAAGTTGATATGTTTTGTTAATTTACTTTCACTTTAATATACGTTTATTAAAATTAGTAAGACCTTCATTTAGTACATAAATATAAACCCCAAAACATAAACAGTAATAACCAATCAAAACGCAAAATCAGGAATTCAACAGTTCGTTCAAGGCAAAAACGTTTTTCGTTTTATTTAGGTTAGGTTTGACGAGTGCGACTGCGCGATGAATTCTGACTCAACTGGCCAGCGCAAAAACAATAATTCAACTTCCTCAATCGTTTGAAAAGTCTTGCTTTTGTTAGTTTGTCTATGACCCAGGCAGAAAGCATGGCCTTCTAGACTGTCCTAGACAAAAATCTGAATATTTCTATATGATTTCTGTCAATTTCTGCTACGGAACATTTTTATGCACGTCGGCGTCCTGTTCTTTTGTCTTTTGTCTTTTGTCTGTGTGTCAGCGTCAGCTCCCGAGGCCTCTGGCAAGGTCGGGCGCCATTTTAATTTTTGCCGTTTAGATTTGATTGGAAGTTTGTTTCTGATATTTCGGCTGAAATTTATAAGTACAAAGATGTTTTTTGATATAAAGTTCCTTGTTAACACTTTAATAAAGTATATATGATGAAATCGACGTTTCTGCGTGTAGTAGGTATGGGTCATATTATCTGTAAAAATAGGTAATATATTAACTGTTTTTATATTTTTTTTAGCTTTAAACCCAAGGATCTTGGGATATTCTTTGCCAAGGATTTTTCCGTATCTCTACTTTAAAGACTGATCGGTGATTTTGAGCAATTGAAAGCAAGTTATACAAGGTAAATTATGATTATTGAACTATTATTAGCCTACATTAATTTTCTACAAGATGAACAGAAATGCGTAATTACATATCACACATGTATTTTCATAGCAATAATGCTATAAATCTATGTATGTAGATTATTTTTAAAATACAAATGAGGTATTAGATGTATATGTATCATATTTTTTATTCATTTTATTTTCATTCAATTCCTGTTTGATTTAATTCATAAAAGTCTTATGTACCTATATTTATGTTTTTTACATATTTTTTTGATTCCAGGTTTTGTGTGGGTTCCGGTTGCCTTTTTCCTGCTTCCAGTTATTTAGTTTTATGCCCGTGAAGCTGTGAAAACATTTATGTATCTTCAAGTTTCTGTAAGTCAATGCACTGTTACTTTACTAATTCACTTTTTAACACAGCATCTCTGATATTATTTAAATATTTGATATTGATACAGTAGTTTATTGGTTTATAGCTCTTTAATTGTGTTGATTTGCATATTTACATTGTTCTAAATTCCAAATAAATATTTTTGAGTAATTTTGTTGTATTATTTACTACTAGAAAGGGTAAAAAGTATATTAACCCTCATTTAAACCTCCTGAACAGCCCGCCATTAAAAACCGGAAACGGAAATAAATTTCATAAAATTGAAATTGTCATGTCTATGTCATGTCAAATGTCCCAGCCGCCATATCTGAAAATTAGTTACCCAGGCAGCCACGCTGTTTCCATAATTTAACATTGACTTGACACTTCTTCTTGTATTTATTATTTTATGGTAGGCACCTCGATTTTGTGAATTTATGAATGACTTGCTCTATCTATTTTTATTCTTAATCTAAGGTTTTTTCGATCATATTGTATGTATTCCTTCATATATTTATTTAGGCAGACAGTAGCAGGGGGGTGACAGTAAACCGGAAAATTGGAAACAGTTCTGGCGCGGTCTTACCCATAAAATAATTAACTAGAAAGAAGTGTCAACTCTGTGTTAAATCGTGGAAACACGATACGCCACCGAAAGCCTTCGTTGTCGTCTGGAGAACTAATTTTCCAATTGACAGGTTGACATGATAAGGACATGATGGCTTAATTCTCATTTCCGTTTCCGGTTATTCAATGGCGGGTCCTCTTTCAGTTCAAATGTATTTTGTATTTTTTTTTCATAAATAAAACAAAAAATTATTTATTCACATATATTTATTTGAAATATGGAACAACGTGAGACTTACAGTAATTTGTAAATAAACACACGTATTCGCAGACTTCAAGGGCAGAAAACGGACACAGGAACATGAAAACGGGAGCCTTATACAAAAACCTGAAAACAGAAAAACAATTTTTTATATACTAAAATTAACAATGTAAAAATATCAATAGGTATAAAATATAAATATACTGTTTAAAAAAGCGTCCATTATTCCCAAAGAGGCCTGGCTTATTAATCAAAAAGAAGCAAAAAGAGACTTTTAGTCGGATAACATAATCAGATTATCAGTCCGATTTATTGCATTATTGACGATAAATCGCACATACTGGAGATAACTAATGTTGGCTATAGTTAAAAATGATCTTACCTTGCTGTAAATTGCTTCCATTTTCAGAAAAATCGCCGATCAAAGATATTATAACACCATTTTCTTGCATCTAAAAAATGTAAAAACAGTGTTTATTTACTACCTATTTTTCATATACATGGGACATACCTACTACTGCAGAAACGTCATTTTCTCCAGGATTCTTCATGTAATATATATTATATATACTTTATTACCATTATATTTATAAATTTCAGCCGAAATATTAAATTGAACTTCCAAAACGAAACTAAACGGAATGAATTAAAATGGCGTCGAATATTTTCGAATTTGTTCTAGAACAAATCTGAAGTTGTCTCTGAAACTGAAATCTGTCAATTATAAACTGTGAAGTTAGACAATAGTTAGACAAAAACAATGCTGTCCTTGTCTAGGCGGCCATACTTGTCGTGAGGAGAATGACAGGAATGACACTAATGACTGTTTCCAATTTTCCTATTTCACTGTCACCCCCCTGGT